CAGGTAGACACAACCACTTCCAGCTCAGACAGAAGGTTTATTCCTCAGGACAGCCGACAGGCCAGCTCAGCCCTCAAACTTTTTCTTGCGGCCCTCCATGCCACTCAGCGCGTCAATGTTCTTGCGCCAGTCTCCAACCTCCCGGATTTCCTGGGGAAGTGGGGTCAGAGGTTAGAGTGTCTTCCCTCAGCTAGTCTCCCCCGCCCTTCAGCCTGCTGGGCCGCTCTGTTCTGGACGTCTTCCCAGGGATCCGGTTCTGGAACGCTTCCTGTCCCTCAACGATCCAGTCCAATCTGCCCCATGCACTTCCTCTTTTCTCTCCTGCACTTCCTGTCTCCCTCCTGCACTTCCCATCTCTTCTCTCCTGCACTTCCTGTCTCTCTCCTGCACTTCCCATCTCTTCTCTCATGCACTTCCTGTCTCCCTCCTGCACTTCCCATCTCTTCTCTCCTGCACTTCCTGTCTCTCTCCTGCACTTCCCATCTCTTCTCTCATGCACTTCCTGTCTCCCTCCTGCACTTCCCATCTCTTCTCTCCTGCACTTCCTGTCTCCCTCCTGCACTTCCCATCTCTTCTCTCCTGCACTTCCTGTCTCCCTCCTGCACTTCCCATCTCTTCTCTCCTGCACTTCCCATCTCTTCTCTCCTGCACTTCCTGTCTCTCTCCTGCACTTCCCATCTCTTCTCTCATGCACTTCCTGTCTCCCTCCTGCACTTCCCATCTCTTCTCTCCTGCACTTCCTGTCTCCCTCCTGCACTTCCCATCTCTTCTCTCCTGCACTTCCTGTCTCCCTCCTGCACTTCCCATCTCTTCTCTCCTGCACTTCCTGTCTCCCTCCTGCACTTCCCATCTCTTCTCTCCTGCACTTCCTGTCTCCCTCCTGTACTTCCCATCTCTTCTCTCCTGCACTTCCCATCTCTTCTCTCCTGCACTTCCTGTCTCCCTCCTGCACTTCCCATCTCTTCTCTCCTGCACTTCCCATCTCTTCTCTCCTGCACTTCCTGTCTCCCTCCTGCACTTCCCATCTCTTCTCTCCTGCACTTCCTGTCTTCCTTCTGCACTGCCCATCTCTTCTCTCATGCACTTCCTGCAACCCTCACGCACATCCTGACTCCATGCGATTTCCCTCCTTTCTCCTAATGCACTTCTGGTCTTCTCCTTCTACACCCTGTCTTCCTGTGTACTTCCTGTACTTCCTGTTGAAGATTCCTTAGCAGATTCTTCTCCCCAAAATTCCAAGTCATCTGCCCTGAGGCCAGGCCCTGGGACTGTTGCCCCCACACCCTGTCCTCTAAGCATCGCCTTTCCTGGCCCAGCCATGCTTACCTTCTCCGTGTCCTCCTTCTTCACCTGCTTGAGGTGGGCCCGCAGGTCCAAGGACTCCTTAGCCCTGGTTCCCAGCAGCGCCTGCATCATGGCATCCGCAGAGATCCGCACCCTCCGCAAAGTGGGCCGCTTGAACTTGCCCCGGAGGTCAAAGATCTTCTGGGTCAGATCTGCAATCTGGGGATGAAGCAGGAATAAGGGGAGGTGGAGACCTTTTCCTCCACTTCCCCCTTTCCCAATTCTCACACCCTCCACTGCTCGCCTATCCCAAGCCAGGCCTCACCCAGGCTTTTCCAAGCTCAGGCTGCCACTGTCTCCGGGACAAAATCCAAGTTCCTCACCCTGAGCTGGAAACCTTCCCAGATTGCCCCAGCCTCATCCCTCTGAACCACTGACACATCCCAGCCAGGCTACCTGCACTTCGGGGTTCCCCGTCCATGCCTGAGCTCCTTTGACGCACCAGCCACGCATTTTCAAAACACATTTTCTACTGTCCGCCTTCCCCTGCCTGGAACAGCCTTGCCTGGCCATACTGTAGTCATTCTTCTGCCCCCTCCTTGCCAGACTCACAGAGTTAGCCCAGGGCCCTTGTATCCCCAACCACAAGCAGCTGCAAGGAGCCAGGCTGAGACCCCAGCCCCAGGTATTGCATCCTACTCGGAAGGGACCCAGAATGCCCCATGCCTCCTACCTCTGTGACGTTCTTGGTGACTTTTGCCTCCACGTCATATCTCTCCTCATCCACTTTGTCCAGGCGGGCATGGAGCTGTCGGCACAAGTCCTGGTAAAGAAAAGTGTCATGTGTGGTAAGAGAAGGCTGGGGACCCAGAGCCACAGGTCTGAGGGAGCAGGGGGCTCGGGACCAAGAGCCACAGGTCTGAGGGAGGAGGGGCTGGGGGCCTGGAATCCTGGGTCTGAGGGAGGAGGGGCTGGGGACCTGGATATCTGGTCCTGAAATAGACTGAAGCTAGTCTCTGGGGAACTGAGAACAAAGGAGAACTCCAGAGCCAGTAATCCTGAGAATGGACAGAATTAGGGATGAAGGAACCGACTTCTGGGTTTGAGACTGTAGGCAGCTTGCAGGCCGTATTTCTGAACTCGTGAGGACAAAAATTGGGAGATTGGGCACCAAGGTTCAGAGAAAAAAGGGAAGGACTGTACCAGAGCCTCAAGGATGCAAGACCAGACACAGGAACCCAGGACCTCCGGCTGAGCAGGAGACCCTGATTAGAGCCTGCACCTACCTGCAGCTCCTCGAAGCCCAGCCCGGCCAACTCCAGAGGCTGGCAGCGCGTGCTCAGAGCGCGCACCTTCTCCCCGCGCCGCTCCTCTGCCTCCCGCTCCAGCTCTTGCTTCGCTATCTGCAGCATCAGGGTCTGCGGAGGGGAGGCCGGACCACACCCCACGTGGGAGAGCGAGATGAAGACCGACTGGGAGGCTGCCCCGCCCCCCCCATCCTCAGACCGACCTTCCAGAGTCCCGCCCCTACAAGGTCCAGCCCTCCAAGGCTCCGCCCCACCATAGCTGGGCAAAGCCACGCCCCAAACAACACTTCAAGTCCCACCCACTCGCACATTCGAAGCCTCACTCCCAACTTCTAGCTCCGCCCCCCTCAAGGACACCTAGGCTCCCTCTCCAGGCGCGTTCTCACCTTCAGCTGCAGTTTTCTCGAAGCAGAGATCTTAGACTTTTTCTGCCGGGAGGAGATGGAGAGAGGGAGTAGAAAGGGGGGGAATCCAAAGGCGGGCAGTGGGAGGGGCTTACGAACCCGCCCCCTCAAGCCAGGTGCAGATTTGAGCCCGCCTCTAAGTCCCGCCCTCAGAGCACCAGAGGCCACGCCCCTCAGTCCGGTGCACCAATCTGGGCCTCTGACTCTGGCTAGGCACCGCCCACTACCTCCAAAGCAATCGCAGGACGAAACTTAACTCCGCCCATAGGCAGCTCTCACCAATCCGAGCCTGGTCCTGTGCGAAACTCCGCCCCTGAGACGCGGCTCATCCTCTTAAGCTCCGCCCATGACCCAAACCCCGCCTCCATAATGGCAAAGTCATGGCTCCGCCCCTTTTCCCCAAGGTGCTGAGTACAGTAACTACCTGACTCTGAAGCCAGGCCCCGCCCCGGCCCCGCCCCGGCCCCGCCCAGCGCGCTGCCCCACCCTCACCTTGGCGTGCGGCTCGGTGGCATAGGCGCGGTAGTTGGCGGAGGAGCGGCGTCGCACCGGAGCGGGGCGCGGTTCCCCCGCCTGGGTTGGGGGAACGGAGCCGCGTCACCGTCGGGCCCTCGGCCCCTCTCCTTGCCCTCCCCTGGGGCTGCAGCCTCCCGCCCAGCGCCCTCCCGGCCCCACCGTCCAGCCCACGCCTGCTCTCACCGCATCGCCGCTCCTGGAGGGAGAGAAGCCAGGAAAGGGGGTTAATGCTGGGCCTGTGGCCTGGTCAGTCCGTCTCCAAAGGGACCCCAGAAGCCCCTCTAACCTAGAGGTCGTGCCACCAGCTTCCCCGTCTCGGGTCCTAGGAGTCTCATTCCCAAACTCTTACCCCATTGCGACCCCCAGGAGTCCTGTCCCACCTCCCGTGTCAGGCCAGGGGTCCAGCCCCGCAGCTCTCACCCCTCCCCCTCCCGGAGATCGCCCCACCTCCCCCTGCCTCGGGCCTCAGGAGACCGGCTTCACTCACTCGTCTGCCATGCTGAGACTCCGGCCAGGGGCTGCGGAAAACAGAAGGGACAAGAGGCTCTGGGAGAGTCAGTGAGGGGGCGTCCGGGGTGACCTTGAAGGCCCCAGGGACTTCAGTCTCATCCGGGCTGCTCGAGCCTCGGTGAGGACACTGATAAAAGGCCAGGGCAGAGACTAAATATATTGCTGTCCCCTCCTCCCCCTGCCCAGGATGTGAGATAAGGGGGCGCGTGAGGGGTGGGGCGGGCGGGGCTCCAGCTGGATCACCCCACTGCCACTGTTCTTGCCTGAGAAACCCGGCCCTTCACGCAGACCCAGGAGTCCAGACCTGTCACCCCTCCTCCCTCTCACCCAGGAGTCCGGGCCCCATCCCCTCAGTAAACTGCAGTCTCCATGAGGGCTGGAGCTGTGTCCTTCTTTCTCATCATCTCACCACGAGTTTCATGCCCCAGACAGGTTAGTCACTCAATACATTTTGCTTTGAGGACCCAGGCGTGCGGTGCTCCGGCACTCAGGGGACAGCGCCGGGAAATCCATTCCTAGTCCACTTGGAAAACCAGAAACCTGGTCTTGGCTACCCTCACTTGACCTTCCCTGGCCCCTCCCCACTCCGAGCCCTGGAAACTGACTGAGGACAGGACACACAGACACACGGAGAAGACCCTGCTCTCTTTATTTGGACCACATGGGTGCTGAGCAGCCCGGGGAGAGGAGACACCCCTAACACCCAGTTAGGAATGGGACACCTGGGGACCACGCAGAAGACTTCGGGCCTGATCTCTAGGCTGCCTTTAGAGTCTTGGGAGGGAAGTGTAGAAGGCTGAGAGAACAATCTAGAATCCTAAGGACAGAACCTAGACTCTCAGAAATGGAATCTGAAATTGGAGAACCACCTCTGGGGCTGAGTGAGAATGTGGGGGGTATAACTGAGTGTTCTAGGGGCGGGTTCTAGTTCCAGGACCTGACTTTAGACGTTAGAGGTGGAGGACATGGTCTCTGAGGGTCAGGTCAGACTCTCTGGTTTGGGGGTCTGACTCTCCGTGGGCGAAGCCAATGCCTTGAGTGAAGAAGCCTGAGACTCTGAGGACAGTTTGAGGGGTTCCGAGAGTGGGGTTTGACCTTGGAGCAGCTGGGTCAGGTCCTCAGAGGACTGGTTTGTTGCCTCAGGGGGTGGGGCCAGGACTTCAAGGGGCGGGACCAGGACTTCAGGGGGCGGGACCAGGACTTCACAGGGCTGGGTCCTGGGTTCCACCACTGAGGCCACCGGAGCAGAGTCCCCAGTCTTGCAGAAGCGCGCGAAGGTCTCAGAGGACCTGGCCCCAGGCTGTGGGGTGAACCCAGCTGCCTGAGCCAGCTCCCCAACACGGTCAGAGAACGCCTGCAGCTGCTCCTGCCGCACGTCCACCAGATATCTGAGATTCAGAAGCGGCATGTTAGGGGACACAGTTTTGTTTTGTTTTTTTTGGGGGGGTGCCAACCTGGTCCCTTGCCCTGTGCTCCACTGACTCACCGGGCTAATTCCACAATCAGGTGTCCTCCAGGGGCCACACAGGCCCCGAGCTCAGGGCTGAGAAGATGGACCATCCTTCCGAGAGAAAACAGGAGGACTTAGGCTCAGAGTTTCAGGTCTTACAGGAGGAGGGGCTGGGGAGGGAAGCATAGGACACCCCAGGTCCTCTTACCCACAGGCCACGTAGAGAAGCTGGAACCGACCCTTGTAGCAGCTCTTATAGTGCAGGGCCTGGGCAGAACCAAGGGGCAGGAAGTGAACAGTGAAGGATTCTGGGCAGGAGGCTGCTGGGGAAGACCAGCAGTTAGTGAGGCAGACACACAAAGCTCGCAGATCACACTACTTGGCCATCTTGAAGCCCTTTCTCATCCTTTCTCTCAGGTGGATTCCTGGAAAACTCTGGGATGGTTCTCCCAGTAGGCAGAAACCCATTTTACAGACCAGACAACTGAGACTCAAGAGAAGGAAAGAGGGTGGCCCATGGCCAGACAGGGCATCCAGACATGGGGAAGGGGCAGGTTAGGGGTGGTGAAGAAGCATGATCAGATTTGGGGAGAGGGCTGTCTCTCCAAAAGTGACCTGGGACCCAGCACCGTGTTAGAATGTTCTCAGCCTCTTAGCTTTTTGCCGGTAGGATCAGAATTGAACCACTGTAATTCAGAACGCTGAGAATGGTGCCAGGACTTAGGAAAGGGAGAGAGATACAAAGAGAAGAGAGAGTCCCTAGCTGGGTAGCTCAGTTAGTTAGGGCATAGTCCCATACACCAAGGTTGTGGGTTCAATCCCCCTTCAGGGCACATACAAGAACCAACCAATGAATGCATAAATGGGTGGAACAACAAATCGATGTTTCTCTCTCTCTCTCTCTCTCTCTCTCGCTCCCTTCGTCTCTCTAAAAATCAATCAATAAAAAATATTTAAAGAAACCATTAAGAAGGGTGCCCACTCATCCAGGCACTGGGAACCAAATCAGTCCATGCTGCTACTCGAAACACCTGGAGCCAAAAGCCCAGGATAGGGTCTGGGTCCCACTCACCCCAGGAGATGTTGTGTCCACATCATCACCCAATCTCGACCTCCCATCTCTAGGAGGAGAGCTGAGTCCCTCCCTTACCAGACTCCTGGGTTCCATTCGCCTTGTCTGACACCTCCTCGGGGTCTCCCTGGGCGGTGCTCGGGTACCCCCAGGCGGCCAGAGCGCGGAACAGCTCTGTCACATTGTGCTGCGTGATATCGCCAGCAGTCTGGGCAGAGGGGGCGCAGCCAGACGCTGGGTTAGGACCACAGTGGCAGGGAGCTCGGAGTACACCACCCCTCCCACCCCCAATCATCTGAGCCGAGAGCTCGGATTCCTGGGACTGGGTTTAGGAAGTGGAGAGGGGTGGAGCCTAGCTCGGGGAGGCGGAGCTCAGGAGGGGGCGGGGCGTAGAGGCGGGGCTTTGCGAACCCATCCAGGTGCAGCACACCTTGACCGGCTGCCCGTTGCTGGTCCGCAGGAGACTCTCATCATCCGTTTCGATGCCAAAGGCTACGAAAGGTCCCGTGGCGATGTCCCCCCAGTACCCTCGCGCTGCCACGCGCTCCCCGCGCTGGGAAAGCAGGGGTTGAGGAGGCAGGTGAAGTCGACGTTGGGGACCCGGTCTTCTGGGTCCCCCCAAAAGAAGGAGCAAGCCAAGGCAGGGGGTGGGCACGCACGTGGCTCAGAAGGCGACCGGACGCCATAGTCCGGTTGGGCACCTGGTAGGCGCTGGAGTCTCTGAGTTCAAAGGCGACGCCTGTGTCCCTCCAGCGCCTGAACTCATTGATGTGGATGACTCGGGCCTGGGGATAGGGGTAGAAAGAAGAGAAGCCTCCGTGAATCCAGTAGACGGGACCTTGGTTGGCCCTCCCTCCTCCACACCCAGGACTGGGGATCTCACCCCACGGTCATGCAGCTTCATGTGCAGGTCCCAGTCGCTGACACCACGCCGGGCGTCGTAGCGGGAACCCAGGTAGTGTCGTATTCTCAAGTCCCAGAGGCGGCTCATGGGGAAGGCCTCGGGTCCTTTCTCCGCACCAGCCCAGAAGCGGAACACGGCTTCCAGGGCGTCGCGCTCACGGAACTGCACATCCAGGCACGCGTGGGGGGAGAGTGAGGGCAAGGGGCTGCAGGGAGAGTGGCCTTTCCTGCTTGACCCTCACTTCCACCCCAGGGTGCGGGCACCGTTCTCTCGTCCCTCCGATGAAGGAACTGAGGCTCAGAATAGAAGCCACCCCCTCGGTCAAATCCCAGGGTGGGCGCTGGGGAGCTGGAATTCAAACCCCCGAGCTTCTAGCTCACTCCATCAATGCAGAACGTGTTGGACCGCCCATCTCCATTATCCCCGTGGCCACCCAGATCCCAGGCAGGAGGCCGGACGGAGGCACCTTCAGGGCGCCCAGGCTGAGCCAGGGCAGCTGCTCCGCCAGGCAGTCGGGCTCCGGAACCAGGCGCGCCAGGCGGTCTGCCTGGGCGCGCACAAAGGCGGCCACCGGGGGGCGCAGCAGCGAGTTCCCCCACACTTCCAGGAAAGTCTCACTCCTCTCTGCGGGGAAGGGAGTGAAAAGTAGTCGGGGGAGCAGAGGAGTGGGCCCAGAAATGAGAGCAGTGTCTCATACCCTGTTTATAGAATGACCGATTCCATATGACACACGCCTTCTTTATAGAATCGTATCATTAGTCATTTAATAAACACAAGGGACCCCGCAAACCCCACGCACTGGCAGCAGCTAGAATGCAAAGAATAACTGACACCTCACCAGGTCTCCTCGCCTATTCCCCGCCCCCAGGCAACCCCATCCTGAATTCCACGTTCACATTTCCCTTGTTCTAAAAGAGAAAAGGAAGGAGGTGGGGATGCATGTGTGTTAAAATGTTACAGATTGTTTAATTTTAGTTAAGGATTTTATAAGAGAAAACGATGTGCTTTTAGTTGTAGACATATATATCTATATCAATATAGCTATGTAAACTGTTTCATCTTAGTTGTTTGAGAACCTTATAAAAGAGGACTTTATACCTTTAGTTAGATAGATATAGGTAAGATTAGTTTAGTCCTTGTTGGTTAAGAGCTTTATACAAAGCGCAGTGTAAATTGTGTGCAATGTATTATGAATGCCTGGGCTATTAATGACAGCTACCATCCTTACTCGTGATCATAATAATTGCTAAGATGTACTGAGTCTATATCAGAAGGCAGGAGCTATGCATTTTTTTCTCCCGTTGACTCCTTGAAAGTGCTCTGTGGAGCAAAACCAGGATTTGAACACAGCTTGTCTGAGCCCAGTCTTTGCTCTAGGTGCCAAGCTGACGTTGTTACTGAGAAACATCACTTTCTGTCTCCCTGCCCATCTTCCTTTTTCCTTCTCCTTTTAGTCTCACTTCGGAGGCTACCTCCTCCAGGCTGGCTCCCTGGGATTCACACTTCTTACTGTGGGAGGCTTGGGGCAGGACTGAGCTCAGCTCAGCCAGACCCTCCCCACGTCTGCGAACTCACTAGCTCTCAGGAAGCCCCCTGATCTATTTTGGACTTCTCCCACTGTAGGAGGTTTTGAATGCTTACGCTGTGCCATGTACTGTTCTGAGAGTTTTGTGTAGATTTTCTCTTGAAATTCTTTCAAATAAGTGAGTAAATGATGAAATAGGGAGCAATGTCCAAAGTTTTTCATTGCACCATGGGAAAGCCAGAATCCCTGCAGGAATGTGGGAGGAATTGGGGACCAGAACGCCCTGGTCCTTGCAACTGACCTTGCAGCCCCATCTTCTCAGGATCCTCCAGGGCTAGGTTGAAGAACAGCATGTGTCGGGCCACAGCTTCCAGATTATTCTCCAGCACATAGAACTGGAAAGATGGACGGGGCAGAATAATTCTGGGATCTGTGTCTCTGGTTCCTAGAAGACCGCAGCCCCCTCCTCCTACAGGACCCAGGAGTCCTGTACACCAACCCCCCCCACACACACACACTTTATTTATTATTATTTGTCAATCCTCACCCGAGGATATTTTTCCATTTATCTTTAGATAGAGTGGGAGGGGGAGAGAGAGAAACATTGATGCAAGAGAGGCACATTGGTTGCCTCCCGACAACCCCGGCCAGGGCCAGGGACTGAACCACAACCGAGGTATGTGCCCTTGACTGGAATCAAACTCGTGACTCTTTGGTCCACGGGCGGATGCTCTAACCGCTGAGCAAAACCAACCAGGGCCCAACACCCCACTTTGGTTCCCGCTAAGGGCACCTACCTCGGTTGCAGTTTGTCCCTGGCCCCAGGTGGGGTCGTGTGGGTGGCGACCACTGGACGTGTCTCTCTCTCTCACATCGATGTTTTTTTCTCTCTCTCTTCTTCCCTCTCTCCCTCCTGCTTTATCTGAAGATAAATGCAAAAAATGTCCTCGAGTGAGGATAAAAAAAAAAAATTAAACACAAGAGTCTGGGCTCTCAGAACCCTCCTCCCCACCACTACACAGGAGTCCCTGTCCTTAGACTTTCTTTCTCCCACTTGAACCCAGGAGTCCCCAACCCCGGACACTTCTTTCCTTAGGACGCATGGGTTGGGGCTCCCAGCTTCCACCTCCCTCAGACCTAGGGGTCCAGGCCTCCCACTTCCTCCTCCCTCAAGGTCTCAGAAATCTGGACTCTCAGCTTCGTCATCCTCCTTTCACACCCCAGAATCCCAGCTCACGTGGAACCTCCTGCGAGGCCAGAGTGATGCCTGGGCCAGGGTTCGAAGCAGGTGGCGCCCATCCACGGAACCCAGCAGCAGCACGTCTAGCTCGAGGGTCCCGTGCTCTGTCTTGGCCTGCGAGTCTGGGTCCACAGGAGGACCTGGCAAGGCGACAGCGGGCTAGGGTTGGTGGCCTCAAAGCGCCTTCTGCAACCGACCCCAGCAAGATGGACTACATATCCCAGGAGGCCTTGCACCTCCAGTCTAGATTCTAAAGGGAGCTGTGCCTCTAAGCATTCTGGTACTCGTAGTCCAGGAGACGCTACCGGAGCTGTCCACTTGGGGGCGACCGCGCCGTTGGAACCTCGGAGAACGTTAGCGCACTATCTGCCAGGCTGTGAAGGTAGCCGCTGTGACAGATGTGGTCCTGGGGTGGGGACTTACTCTCAGCCTGCAGGTCCAGCGCCGGGGACAGGCCCCACCAGGACACCGAGCCGAAGCCCGTGCCCGAGCCTGCCGGTGTGGTCATCGCCCTGCCGGACAGACATCCAGGGGATCCCCAAATATCGTCTCTGCGTCGCCCACCCAGTCCCCTCTCACCGCCCCTTTCCTCCAGGTGACACCTGCCTCACCTTTATCCTTCCAAATATCCCGGGACTTCCCCTCCCTCCCTTCTAGGTGCTGACCTGCGGTCCCACCCGGGCTCCGCAACTGCTGCCCGTAGTCCCCGCCCTTTTTGATCAATTAGCCAATGGGAGCATGCGGACTGGCACCGCCTCTATCAATTCACCAATGTGAGCGAGCGGAACCCGCCTACTTCAAACTTTGCGCCAATGGGAGCGTGGCTTCACTCTCCCATTGCGTGCCAGAAAGGAGGGCGTAAGGACGCGGTTGTCAAGACGACGGTGCTGGAAGAGGCTGGGGCGGAGCCTGGGGAGGTCCAAATGTCTAGTATGGATGAAGCCTGGGCTTGAAAATTAGAAGGAATTGACGGAATCTTCATTAATTCAAATTACATTGAAGTGGCCTAGGCCTTAAACTATAGACGTTTGTGTCCCCTTCCCCCTCAGGGCACATGCCTAGGTTGTGAACCAAATCTCCAGTGGGGGGCATGCAGGAGGCATGTTCTCTCTCATCGATGTTTCTACCTCTCTCTCCTTTTTCCTTCAACTCTCTCTAAAATGAATAAAAATTTAAAATAAAATAAAGGTAATACTCAAAACTCATCACTTTTTATTTTACTATATTACTATTATGGTCTTAAGGTTGTTTAGCTCTATTATACCTGTATAAAGGAATTTTTTTTTTTTTTTTTTTTTGAGAGAGAGAGAGAGATTGCCTCCCACACAGAGATCGAACTCGAAATCGAACCGACCACCTTTTGGTGCATGGGACGACGCTCCAACTAACTCAGCCACACTGGCCAGGGCACTAGTTTAATGCAATAGTTACAAATATGAAATTGATAAATTGTGACCATAGCTGTCTATCTTTGTAAATAAAGTTTTATTAGAACCAGGGCCAGGATTAGCATGAGACACAGTGGTCCAAGAGCAAGGCCAGATCCTGCTTTAAAGTTTTTATATTTTGTCCATTGTGAATTTCTTTATTTTTGCATTAATATTTTAAAACATTGCCCTGGCCAGTTTGGCTCAGCGGTTAGAGCGTCGGCCTGCGGTCCAGAGAGACCCGGGTTCGGTTCCTGCTAAGGGCACGTACTTCAGTTGCAGTTTGTCCCCGGCCCTGGTTGGTCGTGCGGTGGCAGCCACTCGATGTGTCCCTTTCACATCGATGTTTCTCTCTCTCTATCTCTTCCTCTCTCTCCCTCCCACTCTATCTGTACAAAAAATGGAAAAATGTCCTCGGGTGAGGATAAAAAATAAAAAATAAATAAAACATTGTATAAGTACTATTTATCTTGACTACTGAATGTTTTGTTTTGGAGGTTTTGTTTGTTTGATTGGCTTTGCCTTAAATTTGAGGATCCTCCTCCTGACCCTGGGAAATACTACATGTTGGTGTGCTAGTAGACATCTCAACTCCATATTTGATGACTTCACATTGGGGGCTTGAAATAAGCCACAGTAGAAGTATTTACACCATGGGAATGGGCAAACTACACACTAGGGCTTCAGAAAGTTGGTAACAGCACATCACAGGAAGCACTCAAGTCCTCTCCTGCCTCCAGGACTGTATTCTTTGCTTGGAAAAACCCAGCTCATCCTTCCAAGCCCCACTGGGGATCATCCTCTGAGTTCTGTTCCTGCCTTCCCAGCAGAATGGACACAACAGTTCACCCTGTGATTCCCACTACTTTATATTTGAGGGACCTGACATCAGAATGCTTGACAATGTGGCTGTTGGTGTCAGACATGCCTGGGTTTACATGTTGTCTTGTTACATGCTGGCTGAGGGGCCTTGGCTGGGGAAGAACTTGTCTGTGAGTTCCACGAGGTCAGGGAATTGAATGAGCCATGTCTCCAGATCAGAGTACCTTGGCTCTCTGCCTCCTCTCCTCACCCAGGTACATGACCTTAGACAAGTCATGATAAATTCCTGACTAAGCAAATTCTCATCGACCCCTCCCAGCACTCAGAGGCGTGAGTGAGTGAATAAATGAAGGAATGAATGGATGAATCAGTGGATAGGTGGGAGGGTGAATTTCCCTCAGTATGTTCCGAGGATGGGCAGCCCTTCCCCTGCCCTTGTGTGACCCCACCCCTGGAGGTGAGGCTCCCTCCCGGGCCCTGGCCCTGGCCCTTGCCCTTGCCCACTTCCCAACAAGGAGCACCCAGTCAAGCCACCAATGTTGCTGAGTATTTATTTGGCCCCAGGAGCAGGACAGGAATGAGACTGGGGACAGGATGGATGATCCTGTGTGGGGTGAAGGGGACAGTAAGATTGGATCACTGATTGTCAAAGCAGAGGGAGAGACCCTGGGTGGGGTGGGGGAAGGCCAAGCTGTTCCCCTCCCCCAGGAGTCCCTGGGGGCTTCTGGGTGTGTGTGTTGGAGGAATTGGCAATCTATTGTGGTCTTAGGGTCATGATTGGCATACCAAGGAGGGGTGAGAAGGCAGGAATGGGTCAGATGGTTGGGGTGGAGGGGTGAGGGTGGGAGGGTTAGTACTCAGAGAAGGCTTAAGGGTGGGCCTAGGCATGGCTTTGGCCAGGAATCTGGGATCAGGGGCTTTAAGGTGGGGTCAGGGAGCAGGCTGTGGCCTCACTCGGTCAGGGGGTCGCAGTGAGTGCCACTGGGCAATGGGCCGCCGAGGGTTGGCCAGCATGTCTGCCCAGTGCCGCAGGCCAGCTCCGCCGACCGCTGCTCCGACAGCCACCCTCCCGATGGCCTCGTTCTGGCCCAGCTTGTCATAGTCCAGCACGGTCAGCTCCACCTGGACCTTCTGGGGTGGGCAGGAGAGGAAGAGGAGGCAGGAGGGTGCAGGCACGTTGGCACTGGGAGGGACTTGGGTAGCATTGCTAAGGAAAGCCCTCCTTCTAAGAGTCCTGGGGGCCTTGTTAGGTCCCTGGGTTCAAACGCACCTGGAGCTCGGCTGAAAGGGGGTGGGGCAAGTGAGGGGGGAGAGCCCTTCAGTTAGGGGTTCTGCAGTCTTTCTTCCTGCGCGATCCACAGGCTAGAAACCCTCAGGACCCCGTTGCTAAGGGATTGTTAGGCGCCTCCTTAGGGCGCTGCTTCCTAACGGGGGACAAACCTCCAAGACTCTTAAGTGAGTGGAGGGACCTATCTCTAAAGGGTTGTGGAGAAGTCTCTTTTTCTTAGTAACCGTGGCTCCTGAGGGGGCGGGGCATCGTGGTCTTGTCTATGGGGCAGGGTCACCTGCTTCTCCTAGAAGGAAATTGGGAACACAGCCTGAGACCACCCCAGGCCCTGGCTTCTGGAGGTAGATACAGGCTCCCTCCTCTAACAACGGCGTTTCTAAGGGTCCAGGGCTGTTCTGGAGGGTCTCGGGCAGGTCCGGCTCACCTGGACCTGGTCACAGGGCACCTCGAAGCTGAAGGCCTCGTTGTAATAGGGGTTCAGCGTGTTCTTCTTGATGGTCGTTTTCTTTTTCCGCACCTTTTTGCCGCCCTGCAGCAGGTGAACCTTGACATACGGATCTGGGGAGAGGGAGGAGGAGTCTTAGAGCTCCCCACTGCTTAGTGAGAGGATCGGATTGGGGGGGGGGTGCGTGATACTGCTTTGGAACAACATAGCGATGCCCGTGCGCCCTCCAGGTCTCCTTTGTGTGCCCAAATCAAATCTATATCTTTCCATGGCAGCCTGGCCCTCCCTTTTCCCCAAGGGTCCTTCAGGCCCAGAAATTGTCAACCTTAGCCAGAGGACGCCCCCCCCCCCCCCGCACCACCACCATTTCCTTGCTTCCCGCACACCTGACAGCCCTCCGACATCCATCTTCTTCAGGTTTTTAGCCTCCAGGACGATGACGGTGAGCTTTCCGGCAGTGGGGACATAACGGAGGGAGAAGCAGATGTCCCCTAGTTTCTCCTGCTAAAAGATGAAAAGGAACCCATCAACCATCCCCTTTGCGACCCTTCTTCCCTGCCTCCCCCCCTCTGCTTCGGATGGGATGGTCCATAGTTAGCACCGGGAGAGCCCTTGGAGGTATCCCTCTGCAGCAGGTGCATGGGCTGGAGCCGGGTTCCGAAAGGCCTATGATCTGATTGGCCCAGGGCTGCAGTGGGCGGGCCCAGCCGCGGGGGCGTGGCCACGCGTGCTCACCTCCTCCCTCGGAGCCGTGTGCAGCTCCCGCCAGGCCAGCACTGGCCTCCCCAAGTCCACGGAGCTCATGGGGACTCGCACCTCCCCAATGGCATCGTTGCGGGAGAAGCGGTCAAAGTCGTACACCGCCATGACCAGCACCCTGCCTCCCAGCTCCACGTAGGGGACCTGGGTGGGGGAGCGCAGAGGGCACAGGTGGAGAGTCGGAAGTCGGAAGGAAGTGGGGCACAGCACGTCAGGGTGGAAGGCGATGAGAGGGACAGCGAGGGGCCCAGTTGAAGGGGGTGGGCCATGGAAACCAAGTGGGACAACCCAGACCAAGGGAACAGCCCAGGGGTCAGGAGTGCCCCAAAGGGACAACCCAGGGGCCAAAGCTGGTAGCTGCCACCTGAGCTGAAGGGGTCGGTCCCCAGTGTTCCAGGGACTGAGGGAGGCTGTCGAGTGTGGGGCAGAGGCCAGGTGCTCACCTTGAAGGCAAAGGTCTCCCCAAAGTGTGGGTTCAGTGTCTGCCGATGCACCTTGGTCTCATGCCGCCTCCGCTTGTCTGGCAGCAGGTAAACCCGCACATAGGGGTCGGAAGAGCCGCCCAGATCCAAGGCTGCCAACCCCTCGGCTTGCAGGATGCCTACCAGCAGCTGTACAGCAAGGAGGGGCGTCCAGTCTTAGCTTCCCTACCCTCCAAAACCTCCCCCTCCTCCTGGGGCCCACCCCTCCAAAGCTCCCCCCTCCTCCACACCCACCTGGCCACTCTGGAAATCATAATCCAGTGAGTACTGCAATCGTCCGAGCTCATGCTTGTCTGCCACCTGCTGCCCTTGCCCCACCTGCTGCCCTTGCCCGGAGAGGGTCGGCTCCAGCTCTTCCACCTCCGGTTGCACCTTAAGGAGCCAGGGACAAGAGCAGGTGAGCTCTTCCCCTGAGAATGTCATCTTCTGGGCTCAGAAACCAAGGGAGACTCAGGTATCTCAAGGCTATACCTGAGCCCTTGCTGGCTAAGCAGAGTTAGTGTTCTATTAGTGATGCCTGCCACGGGCAGGGAATAACCACAGCAACACATGGTGTCGTGTTTTTCAGTGTTTGATTAGTGATGTCTGCTATAGTTGGGGCTAGATAGTGGTGAAACAGGCAGCCATGGTAGCCCAGAAAACCCAGAGTAAGTGTCTCCCGCCTTCAGGAAGGAGGCTGTAGGTTTTATTTTACATGCCAATGATGTATTGGGGTTGTGCAAATTGCTACATTGTTTTGAGGTGGCAAAATACGGAGGGGAAATGGCATCTTTACCGTGTATTTACCATTCTAAACTAGAACAGCAAAATCAGACATCTCCTTCACCTAAGCCACCAATCTTCAAAATTTAGCGTAAATCAGATTCCCCTGATCAGTGTGGCAAAATGCCTTCACTCCAGAGCCTCTGATTCAGTGGGTTTGGTGCAAGATCCAGAATTTGCCTTTCAAGGAGCACCGGAGGGGATTCCGATGCAATGGTCTTTGGAAGTCACCGGCTTCAGGGATAGGGGTGGAAATTGGACACCAGAACCCTAAAGGGCATCACTATGGGTAAGGATTGTAACAGTTACTTGTTACGAAGGGAAGAGGAGAAATACCAGTTATGGACCACGAACTTGAGGCTCAGAGAGGAACAGTGAATACCCCAAGGCCGCACAGCTGGGTGGAAACCCAGGGCTCTCTGATCCCAGGTGATAATCATTGCACTTTGCATTCAGAGACCTCATGCGCGCTCAGGTCCTTGCACTTGCAACCTTCCATTTGCCACTCCGGTAGTTTCTTTTAACTCATGGTTCCTTCATCCTCTCAGCACTGCTATATGACCTCCTCCTTAGTCTCCTTGCCCCAGGTCTGTCCTCCACATGAATTCCTGGGGGTTCATCTAACGCACATCTGACCCTGTCCTTGTCCTGCTCAAACCTTCCATGGCTCCCTATTGCCCTCACTATGTGGACACTGCTGGTTCTCCCACCACCTCACTCTAGAGCACAGTATGTGCCCCCCACCCATTGTGAAAATGACTCATTGTTCCCCAACTACGCCTGAGAATCTGGATACGCTCTCCCTTTGAGCTGGAATGTCCTTCCCTCTGCTCTCAGTTAACTCTGGGTGTCCCCCAGGTCTCGGCACAGACGTCACCTCCGCCGGGAAGCCTTCTGGGACCTTCTAGTCTGTCAAGTGTTTCTTTCTCTGGGCTCCCATATGCTCAGTACTGCCTCTGAGGGGGCGCATACCACCTTGCTTTGTGAACCTGGGAGTGTCTGACTTCCTCACCAAACTGTAAGGTTCTTGTGATTGGTGACTAGGTCTAGTCCATCTCCAGGTTCCCAGGGTCCAGTCTGGGGCTAGACACACAGAGCAGATGGGCAAATAAGGTGGGCATAGGAGGGAAGGGAGCAGGGGCTGAGGCTGCTGGGCCATGGGGAGGAGCGGGGGTGCAGAAAGGAGCAGGACAGCGGGGACCGGGCCAGGCCACACCTTGTCTATGTAACTCCGGCCCAGTTCCTTTACTTCCTGAAGGTGGACCTGGGCTTGGGCCTGGCTCTTCTTGCCCATCCGCCTTCGACAACGCTTCCGGTACAGACAAAAACAGCAGCTGAAGACGAGGAAGCCTGACACCAGCACGATTGTGGCCAGGGCCCAGGGGGGCACTGCAGAGGACGGAGCACAACAGAATCAAGCCCCTAGGAAGCAAGCCAGCTGGGTCCGTCCAGGTGACATGCGGAGGCTGCAATCCTGGCCTTGTTTTTCCTCCAGCCATATCCCTACCGTTTTATTCCCACGTTTTCCTTCCAACTCATCTCACCTATAAAGCGATTTGATGCCCTCACCCAGCCTTCTGATTTTTTTGCCTATCCCTTCTACCTCCATTCTCATTTTTATGCTCAACTCCTGATGTTCTTAGAAGCCTCAACCCCTCCCCAGGCCTGTTTCCCTCCAGTTTACCAGTCCAAGAGCCCGTTTGATTCTACGCCCAGCAGTCGGGTTCTCATTGTTTTTGTTTTTGTTTGTAGCAAACCTGTTCTTTTTCCATTTCATTTCCATTCCAGTTCAGGATTCCGACTACGATCCCACCCGGATTTTCCAGCCCGCCAACCGAGTACACTCGTGGAAATCCCTCCCCAGTGCATCCTGACCGGGCTTTCCCTCCGCTCCAGCCCCGGGTCTAGCTCACCAAGGCCGTGGCCGATGCGACTCGAATCCGGAGGCGTGTCAGGCGCTGGAGGCCCCGGGGTTGGGGGCTCGGGAATCATGGCAGCAGGGTCCTATGATCGTTTCTGCGGAGGCACCCGAGCGCCCTAGCCCCCCACGCCCACCCCATGAAATCATTGAGTCCTTCCAACAACCAAGAACTACAATTCCCATCAACACTCTGGGCAAGCGACGGCATAGGAATCGGGCAGCCGCCGCGAGGCATGTTGGGGGTTGTAGTTTCAGCCTCCCCGCGACGGAGCGAGCATGAGGGAGGTGCGTTCCGGGACCTAGTTAGTTCCTTCCGAAAGGGACGTCCCCCAGGTCCCAGGTCCCCGCAGGAATCTTGCTGACTTTTGCCCTTTCCTTGCGCTTCTCCAGGACCCGAATCGGAAATGGGCGAAGGCCAGCGTGGGAACCAGAGCACCCAGTTGCCCAGAGCAACACCTGGCTCGGCTCGGGCAGGGTGGGAGCCACTCTGGTTGCCCCGGCAACGGCCTGTTACCACGGCAACGGGCGGGGCTTACGCACTGAAGCCTAGTGTCCGGGGGGTCGGCTGGCTCCGCTGTCTGTTGGGCCTGGAAACCCAGACCCGGACCCGGGAAGAACCAGGGTGGGGAGGGACGGCCTTGCCCGTCGGTCCAGGAGCCCACAGCTGGCCCCTCCTTCACCTCTGGCCCTGGGGGCGGAGACTCAGTCTCTTTCTCTCCCACTCTTTCGAGGAGCGTGGGGGTCAGGGACTTGCCCCGCTGCTTCTGCGGAGCTCCCACATCCTTCTCGGCCTTTGGTCTCTCCCGCGCGCCCCGAGCCCTGTCTTCACAGCTGTCCTCGTGGCCGCCCGGCCTCCACCCCTCCTCTGGACTCCCTAGTTCTGTCCGTTCCCCCAAGGGTCTCTCGCCGCTCCCCCTTGTGTCTCCCTCTGCCTGTTGTGTGGTCTCCGTCTCCCGGGGGCGCCCACTCTCTCCCCGCGCCTGTTCCTACCTGCTCCTCCCTCCCCTCTGGCTCTTTGTCCCCACACCTGTCTCCGGGTTCAGGCTCCAGCCCTCCCACTCCCTCTGTGGATGCTTCCCAGGGTGCCCCATATCCCCCACATCCTGTCCCTCTAGGGATGGGAATGAGGATGGGGCTGAGGGAGGGGTCCCCGCAGCTCCTTACCTGCCCAAGCAGCTGGACAAGACCCTCCCCAGGAGACACTGAGGCGCCGGCCCTGACTGACGCAGGCGGATGGCGCTGTCCGCGGTGCTGATAGTGGAGCGCGGTGGGGCGGGGGCGCGGCTGGGCGGAGATGGGCCGGCGTGTGTGTGGAGTGTGTGTGTGTGTGTGTGTGCGTGTGTGTGCGCGCGTGCCAGCGCGTGCGTGTTCAGTCCCGAGTAGGAGGAGAGCCCCGTCCCGCCCCTTGCCCCGCCCCCAGCCAGGAACCACCAGGCATATTCGTCCTGGTCCCCCAGGATTTTCTGCCTTCTAGTCCAGCCACCCCTTTGCCCACCTCCTGTATTACCCAAAGAACCGGGGGGCAGGATACCAGGAGACCCTCTCCGTAACATTCAGATACCCAGACACCAGACTCAGCGTGAAAATCTCCAGCATATTATCCCCAGACATCACCCCACCCTCTTAGTTCCACTATCTCCAGGTCCAGGAGACAAGCCCTCCTGGGTTTTTTTTGTTTGTTTGCTTGCTTGCTTTTGTTAATCCTCACCCAAGGATATTCTTACATTTATCATCAGATAGAGTGGAAGAGAGAGAGAGAGAAACATTGATGAAGAGAGACACTTCAATTGGCCACCTCCCACACAGCCCCAACCAGGGCCAGGGAGGAACTACAACCAAGGCACATGCCCTTGGCTGGAATCGAACCCATGGCTACTTGGTTCGAGGGCCGACACTCTAACCATTGAGCCAAACTGGCCAGGGCAAAGCTCTCATGTTTTTAGCTCCAGGGAACCTCGTCCACATTACCGTGGACATCAAACTTTGCCTCCAGCCTTCTCAACCATCCAAACCTTTATTTTTCCAGGTGCAAAATTGTGGGTCCCTCTAGTGACCTCCCTAGGACTTTTGCCTCAGTACCTTAACATCCCATCCCCACCCTGAGATTATTTCCAGACTCAGAAATCCATTGAGGCAAGTCTATCTGCAGAGAATAATGATTTAATAAATTATGGGACAGAGGGGAAAAAATATGTACAGGCAGTGGGGTGCTGGGAAACCTGAGATCTAGAAGCTTTGGTTTCTGGAGTAAAACTTGGGCAGGATCCTGCCTAAATTGCTCCTTGGGTAGGCAGCATCCCAGAACCTCATTCCTTCCTTCCTCAGAATCCAGCTTGTTTCTGTGAGACCCTGCAGCCCGGGCCCCTAGCCTCCTCCTCCCAACAAGAACTAGGACATCCTAGCCCTCATCCCTCCCCTCTTCCAAGGAACCAGGATCCTGGATCCCACCTGACCTCTCTCCCCCAGGACTGCCAGCCCCTCCTCCCAAAGGGCCGGGAGTGTTTGGCCCCAGCCCTCTGCTCTCCCCGGAGTCCAGGAATCTGGGCTGAAGTCTGGATCTAGAGTTTGAGTCTAGCCGGGCTGGGGTCTCAGCGCCCTGAAGCTTAGCTCCCATAGTGGTCGCGGATGGCGGCCTCATTCTCAAAAGCCAGGTTCTCATACGTGACCTCCTTCTTGGTCTGCACTGGGGATGACTGCTGGAGAAACCATAGGATGCACTGGTGCAGGAACACGTACTGGGCCTGGCGAGGGGGCACAGGGCGGGGTGGTGGTGGTGAGGGATGCCCTCCGGAGCCTTGGCCTGGCGTCCCCCAGGGATCCCACCTTCACCCACCACCCCATCCCCTAAGAACCCCAGTCACCTCTGTCTGCACCATCAGCGGCCGACTTTCCCGCATCTTCTTCACAAAGCTGAAGGGCCCCACGACACCCTCACACTCCAGCTGCCGCAGCAGGACATCCAGGGCGATGAGGGTGCCCGTGCGGCCCACACCAGCACTGGGCAGGGACAGGAAGGGGTCAGGCCACGGGAGGGGGCTGTGACACAGGGCAAGGATCTGCTTCTAGAGCACCCCGCGATTAGGGTATTATTCAGTGAGACACGGTTGCGGGGGGACACAGTGTAAGTGGGGGGCACTCAGGGAAGGAGACGGTAGTGACATACGACTCTGCATGTTGTTCTTTCTACTTGCCAGGCCCTACTTCCAAGCTCCCCACCTGAGAAGCAGGACTGACTTGCAGGCCCACATTACAGGTGGTGGAAATAGAGGCTGAGCCAGGTAAGGTCGCTTGGCCCAGGTCACGTGGCTAATAAGTGACAGAGCTAAGGTTCACACATGGGAAGACACTCTCCCAAGATGTGGCTCGTTGGCTGAGTGTCAACCCGTGAACCAAGAGGTCACCGGTTTGATTCTCCATCAGAGCACATGCCCAGGTTGTGGGCCAAATCCCCAGTGGGGGGCGTGCAGAAGGCGGCCACTTGATGTTCTCTCTCATCAATGTTTCCCTCCCTCCCTCGCCCTTCCTCCCTTTCTAAAATCAATAAAGAAAAAAAAAATTTTGTTTTAAGTATTTTTGCCCTAGCCAGTGTGGCTCAGTTGGTTGGGCATCGTCCTGTGCGCCAAAAGGTCACCAGTTGGATTCCTGGTGGGGGCACATGCCAGGGTTGTGGGCTCAATCCCAGTAGGGGCGTGCAGGAAGCAGCTAATCGATGTTTCTCACATTGATGTTTCTCTCTCTCTCTCCCTCTCCCTTCCTCTCTCTCTAAAGTCAATAAAAACATATTTTTAAAATGTTTACAATTTAAACATGAAAGTCACCATTTTAAACAACTCGGTGGCATTAGTGACACGCGCAATGCTATGCAATCATGACTTCTATCTAGTTTCCCAAACACTCATGTCCCCCAAAGGAGGCCCCACACCCATTAAGCACTCACTCCGCATTCTCCTCTCCCTCCAGCCCCTGGCAACCATCAGGTGGACTGGCCTGTTCTGAACATTTCATGTAAACAGAATCATCCACCGTGACCTTCCGAGTCTGGCTTCTCTCACTCAGCCTACTGTTTCCAAGGTTCGGCGTCATCGCATGAATCAGTGTTTCATGCCTTTTTATGGTCCAGCTGGTGGGCCGAACTGCTAGGCAGGACCCTCCTGCCCTGGGGGAACGGAACACCAGTCCGCGGAGGCACCTCCAGGGGGCGCCCTCCGGGGATTGGGACGGTGTTAGGACACTGAGCCTCACCCACGTGGAGGCTGGCTGTCATTCTGAGGCATGCCCCTTCCTCGGCCACCTCCAATTTGCCTACAGTGAAATCTTATCTTCGGGGCTTCAGCATAAACAGGAACACGAAGGTGGGGTGGCGCCCAGCACAGGAGCCCAACGAGGTGTTCCAAATCCTTCTCAAAGCCTTTGGTGGCTTCTCCCTCCTGTTCTTCACCCCCCCCTTCTCTTCTTCCTCACTCATGCCTTCTCCTCCTTTACCTTCTCATTTTTCTTTCCCATCTTCTCATGGTACCCTTGTTCTCAAGCTGCCTCACTGACCCCTTACTTCTGTCTCCATCACCTCCTCTCTCCTCTACAAGGTCCCTTGGACCAGATAAGCCCATCTTCTGAGTCCCCAGGGCGTGTCTCTCCCAGGACAGGGTTAAGGCAGTCCTCACCTGCAGTGCACAATCGGGGGGCCTCCCCCTGGGGTCCGGTCCAGCCACCGCCTGAGCACCTTCCAGAAGGCCAGTAAGGGGCCCGGGGAGTTGGGGACACCATGGTCCGGCCAGGCCACGTAGTGGAACTGTCGCACGGACAGAGTCTTCTGCTCCCGTGTCTAAACCAAGGGTGGGTTGGGGGAGGGAGAGCTCAGAACCGAGGAAGAGGGGGGGCTGGTGTCTGACTGGTGGGGGCATCCCTGGGGCACACTGTGGTCCTTTGGGGGAGTGATGGAAGGTTAGCCTTCCTGGGGAGTTGTGGGGAGGGGGCTTCCCAGAGCGTCATGGGGGAGGAATTGAGGGCCAAACCCAGAGCTGGCTGGGTGGGAGGACTTTTTTTTTTTTTTATCCTCACCCGAGGACATTTTTCCATTTTTCATTCAGATAGAGTGGGAGGGAGAGAGAGAAAGAGAGGGAGAGAGAGAAACATCGATGTGAAAGAGACACATCGAGTGGCTGCCACCCGCACGACCAACCAGGGCCAGGGACAAACTGCAACCGAGGTACGCGCCCTTAGCGGGAACCGAACCCGGATCTCTCTAGAATGCAGGCCGTCGCTCTAACCACTGAGCCAAACCGGCCAGGGCAGGGTGGGAGGACTTACATGTCGCAGCCTCAGGTCTCGGACTGTCCAGTTCTCCTTCACCTCCTCACCCTCAAGGGTCACTTGTAGGTGCCCATGGGTGCAGGGCTGGGCGTCTAGAGGCCAATAATGCTCACACTTCACCTGGGGGGTGACTGGAGGGTTAGAAAGGAGGCCCAGAGAACCTGCCCGAGGCCCCTCTGCATGGTGGCTCTTGTATTAGGGCCAGGGACCCACAGGCAGCCAGGTGTAGATTCATCCCAGCCAGGAGGACCCCTCTGTCCCAAGCTCACTGGGATCGGGCTCACCCCACAGTGGCCACAGTGGCTGGGGGTGATGGAGGAGGTTGGGGTCCCACGGGAGGGAATCAGTGAGGTGTGGGTCAGGGTCGGTGCGTCTTCTCACCCGGCCCAGCTCCACGCAGTTGGTCAGCATGACCAGGGTGCGGCTTTGCTGTTCCCAAACCATGCGCCAAAAGTCACCCACCGTCTGGGGCAGCGGGCCCTGGGTGGCAATGAACTCCTGGGAGCTCCAGAGACCCTGGTGGATGGAAAGAGTCAGTCACAGCCACCTCCGGCCCTGCTCGGGCCCCCTCAACACCCTCCTGGCTCCCAGCCACACCTACAGGCACGAAGCTGGCGTTGATGTAGTCAGAGCCTGGCTCCCCTCCGACGGTCTTCAAGGACACGCGGGACCAGTCGTCTAGGGGAAGAGGCCAGCATTTCGGTGCAGAGAGAGTGGGGGGGACAGAAGTTATGCTGAGGGGCAGGCAGACACTGGGAGCTCTGAGAGGGGCAGAGGACTTCAGCCGGGAGAACCGGGCTGGGGACAGGAGCCTGCATCTCACGGGGATAAGGGAGGGACCGGGGATGGGGTGTTGGCCAAGTCATGCCTGGGGACAAAGCCAGCAGCAGCTGAAGACTCACAGGGCAGAACGTTTCTGTACCGGTTCTTGGGACCGTTCTCAGGAGCCGAAGCCACCATCTGAGACTGGCCCTGGCCCTCCAAGGCCAGGTGCTGTGGCGGAGGCAGAAAACCGGTGCCCGGTGTGAGATTCCTCCACCTCCCCCAAGGACACCCCGCTGCTCCCTTTGCCCCCCCTTTCCCCATTGAGCTCTGGAGGTCTGTACCCCCTGGAGAAATGGAACCTGTGTGTGTGCCGCCACCGCTGCCATGGGGCCTTTGGGGTTATTTGGGGTACAGGAGGGGCAGGCGAGAGAGGGGGTATCAGGGAAAACCAAGGTGTTTCTCTAGGACTGACACAGGGGCTCGTCACAGTGTTGAGTCCGCTCACTCCAAACACGACCCGAGCATGCCCGGTTGGTGAGCTGCTCTTGTTGCAGGTTGCAAGGCCCAAGGCCGTGGAAAGGTCTGGGTGGGCTCGGGGGGGGGCTCAGGCCTCGGTCGGCACCCACCTGGTATTCCTCCGCAAAGCCGCAGTTGCTGTCCTTCTCATTCCTCCGGACGTGGTCAGCAAAGTCAGCCGCCGCGATGTCCTCTGGGAAGCTCCTTTCTTCCTGGGCACTTGGGGTCCAAGGAAAGGTGTTTCGGTTGTGTGGGCAGCCCCGAAACTGATACACCTTGCAACTGGGAGGTTCTGCCTCTTCACACCTTCCCCCCCCCGTTTCGCCCACACGCTCAGCCCCCAGCCTTTGGCAACTACCAATCTATTCTCTGTATCCATGAGTTCGTTTTGTGTTTGTTTTCGGGTCTTTTTCTCTTTATTTTAGAGAGAGAGGAAGGGAGAGGGAGAGAGAGAAACAGCGATGAGAGAGAACATCGATGGGCTGCCTCCTGCATGCCCCCCACTGGGGATCAGGCCCACAACCTGGGCATGTGCCCTGACCTGGGATGGAACCAGCAACCTCTTGGTGCACGGGTCGACGCTCAACCACTGAGCCACACCAGCCGGGCTGTTTTTTATTTTTAAAATATGTTTACATTGATTTTTTTAGAGAGAGAGGAAGGGAGAGAGAGAGAGAAACATCAGTGTGACATGGAAACGTCGATCAGCTGCCTCTGCACACACACTCCCCCCCTCCCCACTGGGCATTGAGCTGGAAACCCAGACATGTGCCCTGACCAGGAATCAAACCGGTGACTTCTTGGCATGTGGGACGACACTCAAGCCACTAAACCGGAGCTGAGCTATAAATGGAGTCTTGATTCAGTTTTGAGACTGCCTGGAGGTTGGCAGTTCCCCTTCTCACGCAGCGATTAATCTACAGATCCGTTACGGGGCACAGTCTGGTTACACCCACCTACCCTCATCCCCCAGGGCAGGTTCCAGATGTGTGGGGACAGCCCCTGTGCCCCAGAGCCCATAAAATTCATCAAACAAAGGCTGCATGTCTAGAGTCACCCATTCCTTCCTGCAGAAACCACAATAAAAGTTCTCACCACATCTCCCCAAGCTCCTCTGCCCCCCACCTGCCCCCCAGTGCTTCCCCGAGTGTCCCTGTGTGATGGACCGTGTCCACCCTCTCTCAGAATCTGTGAGTACTATAAACTGTCTTTTCTTTTCTTTTTTTAATCCTCACCCAAGGATATTTAGTGCATTGATTTTTAAATAGAGTGGAAGGGAGGGAGGAAGACAGAGAAAAAGAAACATCGATGTGAGACACAGCCATTGGTTGCCTCCTTCATGACCCCAAGGGCAGGGGATTGGACCTACAGCCCAGGTATGTACCCTTGACCGGGAATTGAACCTGAGACTCCGGTGCATGGGCCAATGCTCTAACCACAAAGCAACACCAACCAGGACTCGTCCCCTATTCTTGCCTTTGATTCTTAAATAGGTGAGATCGTGTCACTGGTCTATTCAAAACCCTCGCCTTTGCCAGTTTGGCTCAGCAGTTAGAGCGTCAGCCTGCGGTCCAGAGAGAGAGACCCGGGTTCGGTTCCCGCTAAGGGCACGTACCTCCGTGGCAGTTTGTCCCTGGCCCTGGTTGGTCATGCGGGTGGCAGTCACCCGATGTGTCCCTTTCACGTCGATGTTTCTCTCTCTCTCTCTTCTTCTCTCTCCCTCCCACTCTATCTGAACAAAAAATGAAAAATAAATAAAAATAAAGCAAAACCCTCCAGCCCTGGCTGGTTTGGCTCAGCAGTTACAGCATCAGCCCATGTACCAATGAGTCATGGGTTCGATTCCGGTCAAGGCCATGTACCTCGGTTGTGGTTCATCCCTGGCCCTGGTTGGGGTCGTGTGGGAGGCAACCAGTTGATGTGTCTCTCTCACACCGATGTTTCCCTCTCCCTCTCTCCCCATCCTTCCCACTCTATCTGAAGATAAACAGAAAAATATCCTTGAGTAAGGATTGAAAAAACAAACAAGTAAAAAATTCCTCCCAGCCCTGGCCAGTTTGGCTCAGCGGTTAGAGCGTCGGCCTGCGGTCCAGAGAGACCCGGGTTCGGTTCCCGCTAAGGGCACGTACTTCGGTTGCAGTTTGTCCCCGGCCCTGGTTGGTTGTGCGGGTGGCAGCCACTTGATGTGTCCCTTCACTTCGATGTTTCTCTCTCTCTCTCCCTTCCTCTCTCTCCCTCCCATTCTATCTGTACAAAAAATGGAAAAATATCCTCGGGTGAGGATTAAAAAAAAAAAAAAAAAAAATTCCTCCCAAAACTCCCATCTCGGAGTAAAAGCAAAGTCCTTGGTTTCATCTGTAAGGTCCTCGTGCTCTGGTCCCACCTCTCGGATTCATTTCCTATGACCCTCCCCTTCACACACACACGCCCCCTCCGTCTCTGCCACACCCAATGAGCTCTATACACACCCAGCGTGCTCCTGCCCCAGGGCCTGTGCACTTGCTGGTCCTTCTGCCCGGAATGCCTTTTCTCCACCTGTGCACAGGGCTCTCCTCCCCTCACGTGCTTCAGGTCTGTGCTCAAATGACTGTCTTTTTTTTTTTATTTTTTTATCCTCACCCGAGGACATTTTTCCATTTTTTGTTCAGGTAGAGTGGGAGGAAGGGAGAGAGAGAAACATCGACGTGAAAGGGACACATCGAGTGGTTGCCACCCGCACGACCCAACCAGGGCCGGGGACACACTGCAACCGAGGTACATGCCCTTAGCGGGAACTGAACCCGGGTCTCTCCGGACCGCAGGCCGACGCTCTAACTGCTGAGCCAAACTGGCCAGGGCTTTCCATTGATTTCTAGATAGGGAGGGAGCGAGGGAGTGGGAGAGAGAGAGAAACGTCAATGTGACAGAAATGCATTGATTGGTTGCCTCCCTCATGGACCCAGACCCTGGCGGGGATTGAACCTGCCACCCAAGTATGTGCCCTTGACTGGGAATTGAACCCAAGACCCTTCGGTCTTCAGGCCAATGCTCTAACCACTGAGCCAAGCAGGCCAGGACTAAGCGCTCTCTTTATCGTGAACCTCACCTGTTTTTTGTTTTTTTATCCTCACCCAAGGACATTTTCCATTTTTTGTTCAGATAGAGTGGGAGGGAGAGAGAGGGAGAAACATCGATGTGAAAGGGACACATCGAGCGGCTGCCACCCACACGACCCAACCAGGGCTGGGGACAAATTGCAACTGAGGTACATGCCCTTAGCGGGAACTGAACCCGGGTCTCTCTGGACCGTAGGCCGACGCTCTAACCACTGAGCCAAACCGGCCAGGGTTCACCTTCTTTAAGGTCTTGTTTACCAACGTCTTCTTGTGCTAGAATAGAAGCTCCATGAGGACAGGAATCTTTGTTTAATTCACTGTTTCCTCAGTACCTAAGACAGTGCCTGACATATAATAGGTGCTCAGTTAATATTTTGTTGGATGAGTGAATGGAAATCCCGGAGTTGAAACAGGAACTGATTCCGACATCACTAGCCCAGGCTGCTTAGGGGACAGGAAGCAATGAAATGGGCTGGGACCCCTGTCACCCAGGGCGTTAGGCCCTTCTGAGACAAGCGCATGTGGATTCACTGATCCTGCCCTCTGACCCACACAGTGACCAGAAAACACCCCTTGATTTAACCCCACAGTGATTCTTTTGGATGCTCCCCAAACCGTCTGCTCACCTGAGTGCCGAATTCTTCTGGGTCTCTTTATACCTGGGAAGAAGGATGTTGGGATGAAAGGCTCAGGGAGTGAGGCTGGAACCAGAGGTCCTGATCCTTCTCCCCGTCCCCACCTCCAGGCAGTCGGCCAGTCCTGCACTGAGTCTCACCTCTTCAGGAAGAAAACCAGCAGGCCCATCAGGATGATGAACAGGAGGACCCCGACAATGGCCCCAGCGATGACCCCTGGGGGAAGGAGGCATGGGGTGCCATTAGAGCCCAGGTCCTATCTCCTCACCTCCCATTTCTCCTCTCTCTCTCTTTTTTTTAAATCTTCACCCGAGGATATTTTTCCATTTATCTTCAGATAGAGTGGGAGGGGGAGAGATACAGAGAGAGAGAGAGAGAAGCATTGATGTGAAAGAGACACATCGATTGGTTGCCTCCCGCACGACCTCGAACAGGGCCAGGAACTGAACCACAACTGAGGTATGTGCCGTTGTCCGGAATCGAACCCTCAAGTCCTTGGTCTGATGCTCTAACCGTTGAGCCAAATCAGCCAGGGTATCAATAAAACCATTTTTAAAAAAGACAGCAAACAACCCTGGCCGGTTTGGCTCAGTGGTTAGAGCGTCGGCCTGCGGTCCGGAGAGACCCGGGTTCGGTTCCCGCTAAGGGCACGTACCTCGGTTGCAGTTTGTCCCCGGCCCTGGTTGGGTCGTGCGGGTGGCAACCACTCGATGTGTCCCTTTCATGTCGATGTTTCTCTCTCTCCCTTCCTCCCACTCTATCTGAACAAAAAATGAAAAATGTCCTCGGGTGAGGATAAAAAAAAAAAAGAAGGCAGCAAACAAGCAAACCAAACCGTCCCCATGGGTAGGTGAGATCCCTTCCAACAGGTCTGAAAGGGCCTAGGGACACTCTGTCCCCTGGGGCTCTGCTCACCTGCGCTCTCGGTGTGGCAGGTGATGAAGGCAGGTGGGGCCCGGAGTCCATCCCAGAGGGTCGTGACGGTGGCCGAGTAGGACTGAGCTGGCTGGAGACCCGACACGGACACATCCCTCCCGCAGGAGGCTCTGTCCTGGGAGCCCAGCTGCCCCCCCACCTGCAACTCAAAGGCCTCATAGCCGCCCAGGGGGCAGGACCAGGTCAGAATAATCCCATAGCCACCAGAGGTGCTGACACAGGAGGTGATGATGACCGGGTCCGGGTCTGGGTAGAGGGGACAAGAGGCGTCAGTACGTGCCACCTGAGGCGGTTTTCCATCCCTCCCCCACTTCACCGCCAGCGATGCCAATTCTGTGACAAGGAGCCCATTCTGCTGTCGGTCCAACAGGTTCCCCCACCAACTACAACTCCCATGATCCCTCTGACGCTCTGTATCACTGTAGCTGATGGAGTCATAGCCCCATGGCCCGATGGGATTTGTAGTCCACTCACTGCTCCTTGCCTGCCAGTCCAGATCTAAGCCCCCCAGCAAGTACAATGGGGCCCATCTCACCTGTGGACGCTCGGAGGCTCTGTGTGGCGCTGGCTACATCGCTCCTCTCTGCCCACACGCTGAAGTTGTACAGAGTGCCGGGTTCCAGAGCCTTTACCACATACCAGGTCTCATTGGTCTTGTGTGTCTCGTCGGCCCCATGTCCTTGGGGGTCTTGTTCCCTCTGGGGGTGTCCTCCCCCGGCCCACCGGACGGAGTACAGGTAGAGGTGAGAGCAGGGGTCTGCAGGGGCCACCCACCGCAGGGTGATCGAGCTGTTGGTCTGATGGTCTTTCTGTAGCCCTGTGACCATGCTGGGAGCTGAGAATTGATTCAGACAGTCAAGGGGCTGGACCCTCATGGACCCTCACACCTGCGCCTGCTCACCTCCCTTTCCCTGCAAAGCTGAGGTGCCTCGGTGATCGGATGGGTCTGCTTCCTAAGGAGCGTGAGCCCCAGAAAAGGGGTGAGGACCGAGGTCGCCCGGCTCCTCTCTGTCCTGAGTCTGCAGCCCTGGGTCCCCCCCCCCCCACCGGCCACTTCTAGATGGAGCTGCTGACTTCAGTCTTCTTGGCCCAAATGGCCAAAGACTAAAGGGTTCCTGGTTCCGTCCGTCAACAGTGAACCTACTCCCTGGGGTAGTTCTGGCTCCTTTCACGCTCGGGCCCCTCCGTGCGAGGACTGGGAGGCGGGGCTCTGGTGGTTCCGATAATTCACCAGGACTAGCTGTGGTGACGGTCTAGCTGGTGACTTTAATGATTCCCCAAGAGGTGGTGCCGTCCCCAAAGACAGACCCTCAAATTGGAAAACCCTGGTCACTGAGGACAGACAACCCCCTAGGAGGGAGACCTATAAGTACATAGACTGATGAGGCTGGCGAGGGGTCACCGAGAACAATTCATCTCCCAGGAACCTCCTAACATCCCCCCATTACTCCCTTCCCCCACCCCAGGAGTGTCGGGTTCAGAACTAGACTAGATCTCACCAGTGGCCCCCATGAGGGTCTTTTCGGCACCCCTGATCCTATTCCTCTCTGCCCGGATGGTAAAGGTGTATAGGCTCCCGGCTTCCACTTGCGTCAGGGTCATCTTGGTCTCGGTGGTGCTGTAGGACTGCAGGGTACCACTCTCCGGGGTGCATGAGACCAAGTAGGTGTAGGGAGGGTGATCTGGCCCCTGAGGAGCGATCCAGCTCAGGGTGATGGAGCTGGTGGACTGGTTCTGTATCCTGAGACTTCTCACTGCATTGGGGACTGGCAGATGAACAGATGGTCAGGTTTCCACACCCCTCATCCACAGGGGTTCAGAACACTGTCAGGTCCCTGCTCCCCGGCAAGCCAGCTTGGGAAGAAACACTGCCTATCAGCCCCGGCCGGGCAGCTCAGTTGGTTGGAGCTTGGTGCCAACATGCCAAGGTTGTGGTTTCCATCCTCAGTCAGGGCACATACCAGAATCAACCAATGACCCTAGTGGTTAGAGCGTCAACTCGCCCACCAAAGGGTCTCAGGTTCGATTCCTAGTCAAGGGCATGTACCTGACATGCAGGTTGGATCCCCCGCTGGGGAGCATGCAGGAGGCAAACAATCAAAGTGTCTCTCTCACAGTGATGTTTCTCTCTCTCTCTCTCTCTCTCTCTCTCTCTCTCTCTCTCCCTCCCTCCCTCCCTTCCACTCTCTCTGAACCTCAATGGAGAAAGTATCCTTGAGTGAGGAATAACAAAACAAAAAAAAGAATTGACCAATGAATGAATGCATAAATAAGCGGAGCAACATAACAATGTTTCTCTCTCTCTCTCTCACTCATTATAGATAGATAGATAGATAGATAGATAGATAGATAGATAGATAGATAGATATCTGTGCCCCCTTCCTCTCTCTCTCTAAATCAAGAGAGAGAGAGAGAAAAGGAAGGAAGGAAGGAAGGAAGGAAGGAAGGAAGGAAGGAAGGAAGGAAGGAAGGAAGGAAGGAAGGAAGGAAGGGAAGGGAAGGGAAGGGAAGGAGAGAGACACACATTTGCTGGCCTGGGACCTAGAGACACCTGAGCTCCTGAAGCCCTATGCTCGGTGCACACCCCTGGACAGGTCAGTCCCCAGGTGTGGCCACGTCTCTCCTGTGGACTCAGGGTGGATGGGTCCGGCTCAGTGAGGCTGAAGAGGTGATGGCCAGAGCCCAGACCCACAGCAGGTGCCACCTTTGCCAGGCTTGGTCTCTCGCCCAAACACAGTGGGCACTGGTGCCTCTCACCTGTGGAGATGCTGCGGTTCTCCCAGGAGCCGGCGACTTCATGCTTCTCCGCCCGCACAGAGACCTGGTACAAGGTCCCGGGTTCCAGTTTCTCCACAGTGGAGCGGGTGTCGACCGTGCTGTGGTTCTTAGTTCCGTCACTGCCACCTGCCCACTGGACCCAGTAGGTGTAGTTCAGAAGGTCAGGGCCGTCGGGCACCGCCCAGCTCAGGCTGATGGAGCTGTTGGTCTGCGTCTCCACACTGAGGTTCCGGACGGAGTTGGGGGCTGAGGAGGGGACAGGAGGTGGTCAGCTATGGTCTCTGGAGCCCACACCCGCTGACCTGCCTTTGCCACTGGGCCCCAGAAACGTAGGGTGCTGGTGAGACCCTCGAGTCCCACAGGGCAGCCATGGCGTCCAGGTGACAAGGAGCCCTGACTGGTGTGGCTCAGTGGTGGGAGTGTCCCATACACCAAAAGGTTCCGGGTTTGATCTCTGTCCGCGTGGGTGTGGGAGGCAACTGATCGATGTTGCTCTCTCACACTGATGTTTCTCTCCCTCTCTCCCTCAAATAAAGCCCGGCCAGTGTGGCTCAGTGGTTGAGCATGGACCCATGCTCCAGGAGGTCGCCGGTTCGATTCCCGGTCAGGGCACATGCCCAGGTTGTGGGCCCGATCCCCAGGGCGGGTCATGCAGGAGGTGGCCAATTGATGTTCTCTCTCATCGATGTTCCTCTCTCTCCCTCCTCTCTGTCTCTCTCAAATCATTAAGAAAAAAAATTTTTTTTAAAGCCCAGCCGGTGTGGCTCAGTGAATTGAGGATTCTCCCGTGGGCTCAGAGGTCCAGGTTCAGTTCCCGGTCAGGGCACATGCCCAGGTTGTGGGCCAAATCCCCAGTGGGGGGCATGCAGGAGGCGGCCAATCCATGTTCTCTCTCACCGATGTTTCTATCTCTCTCTTCTTCTCCCTTCCTCTCTCTCTAAAATCAATAAGGAAAACTAAACTAAACTAAAATAAAATAAAGGACACACTAGCTGGCCTAGGACCTAGAGACACCTGAGCTCCTGAAGCCCTATGCTCCGTGCACACCCCTGGACAGGTCAGTCCCCAGGTGTGGCCACGTCTCTTCTGTGGACTCAGGGTGGATAGGTCCGGCTCAGTGAGGCTGAAGAGGTGATGGCCAGAGCCCAGACCCACAGCAGGTGCCACCTTTGCCAGGCTTGGTCTCTCGCCCAAACACAGTGGGCACTGGTGCCTCTCACCTGTGGAGATGCTGCGGTTCTCCCAGGAGCCGGCGACTCCATGCTTCTCCGCCCGCACAGAGACCTGGTACAAGGTCCCGGGTTCCAGTTTCTCCACAGTGGAGCGGGTGTCGACTGTGCTGTGGTTCTTAGTTCCGTCACTGCCACCTGCCCACTGGACCCAGTAGGTGTAGCTCAGATGGTCAGGGCCGTTGGGCACCGCCCAGCTCAGGGTGATGGAGCTGTTGGTCTGCGTCTCCACACTGAGGTTCCGGACAGAGTTGGGGGCTGAGGAGGGGACAGGAGGGGGTCAGCTATGGTCTCTGGTGCCCACACCTGCTGACCTGCCTTTGCCACTGGGCCCCAGAAACGAGGGTGCTGGTGAGACCCTCGAGTCCTACATGGCAGCCATGGCGTCCAGGTGACAAGGAGCCCTGACTGGTGTGGCTCAGTGGTGGGAGTGTCCCGTACACCAAAAGGTTCCGGGTTTGATCTCTGTCCGGGTGGGTGTGGGAGGCAACTGATTGATGTTGCTCTCTCACACTGATGTTTCTCTCCCTCTCTCCCTCAAATAAAGCCCGGCCAGTGTGGCTCAGTGGTTGAGCGTGGACCCATGCTCCAGGAGGTCGCCGGTTCGATTCCCGGTCAGGGCACATGCCCAGGTTGTGGGCCCGATCCCCAGGGCGGGTCATGCAGGAGGTGGCCAATCGATGTTCTCTCTCATCGATTTTTGTGTCTCTCTCTCCCTCTCCCTCCTCTCTGTCTCTCTCAAATCAATAAAGAAAAAAAAATTTTTTTTAAAGCCCAGCCGGTGTGGCTCAGTGAATTGAGGGTTCTCCCGTGGGCTCAGAGGTCCAGGTTCAGTTCCGGGTCAGGGCACACGCCCAGGTTGTGGGCCAAATCCCCAGTGGGGGGCATGCAGGAGGCGGCCAATCCATATGCTCTCTCACCGATGTTTCTATCTCTCTCTTCTTCTCCCTTCCTCTCTCTCTAAAATCAATAAGGAAAACTAACCTAAACTAAACTAAACTGAAATAAAATAAAATAAAATAAAATAAAATAAAATAAAATAAAATAAAATAAAATAAAATAAAATAAAATAAAATAAAATAAAATAAAATAAAATAAAATAAAATAAAATAAAGAAAGGATACACTAGCTGGCCTAGGACCTAGAGACACCTGGGCTCCTGAAGCCCTATGCTCGGTGCACACCCCTGGACAGGTCGGTCCCAGGTGTGGCCACGTCTCTCCTGTGGACTCTGGGTGGATGGATCCGGCTCAGTGAGGCTGCAGAGGTGATGGCCAGAGCCCAGACCCACAGCAGGTGCCACCTTTGCCAGGCTTGGTCTCTCGCCCAAACCCAGTGGGCACTGGTGCCTCTCACCTGTGGAGATGCTGCGGTTCTCCCAGGAGCCGGCGACTCCATGCTTCTCCGCCCGCACAGAGACCTGGTACAAGGTCCCGGGTTCCAGTTTCTCCACAGTGTAGCGGGTGTCGACCGTGCTGTGGTTCTTAGTTCCGTCACTGCCACCTGCCCACTGGACCCAGTAGGTGTAGCTCAGAAGGCCAGGGCCGTCGGGCACCTCCCAGCTCAGGCTGATGGAGCTGTTGGTCTGCGTCTCCACACTGAGGTTCCGGACGGAGTTGGGGGCTGAGGAGGGGACAGGAGGTGGTCAGCTATGGTCTCCGGAGCCCACACCTGCTGACCTGCCTTTGCCACTGGGCCCCAGAAACGAGGGTGCTGGTGAGACCCTCGAGTCCCACAGGGCAGCCATGGTGTCCAGGTGACAAGGAGCCCTGACTGGTGTGGCTCAGTGGTGAGAGTGTCCCGTACACCAAAAGGTTCCGGGTTTGACCTCTGTCCGGGTGGGTGTGGGAGGCAACTGATCGATGTTGCTCTCTCACACTGATGTTTCTCTCCCTCTCTCCCTGAAATAAAGCCCGGCCAGTGTGGCTCAGTGGTTGAGCGTGGACCCATGCTCCAGGAGGTCGCCGGTTCGATTCCCGGTCAGGGCACATGCCCAGGTTGTGGGCCCGATCCCCAGGGCGGGTCATGCAGGAGGTGGTCAATCGATGTTCTCTCTCATCGATTTTTCTGTCTCTCTCTCCCTCTCCCTCCTCTCTGTCTCTCTCAAATCAATAAAGAAAAAAAAATTTTTTTTAAAGCCCAGCCGGTGTGGCTCAGTGAATTGAGGGTTCTCCCATGGGCTCAGAGGTCCAGGTTCAGTTCCGGGTCAGGGCACATGCCCAGTTTGTGGGCCAAATCCCCAGTGGGGGGCATGCAGGAGGCGGCCAATCCATGTTCTCTCTCATCGATGTTTCTATCTCTCTCTTCTTCTCCCTTCCTCTCTCTCTAAAATCAATAAGGAAAACTAAACTAAACTAAACTACACTAACATAAAATAAAATAAAATAAAATAAAATAAAATAAAATAAAATAAAATATAATAAAATAAAATAAAATAAAATAAAATAAAATAAAATAAAATAAAGAAAGGACACACTAGCTGGCCTGGGACCTAGAGACACCTGGGCTCCTGAAGCCCTATGCTCGGTCACACCCCTGGACAGGTCAGTCCCCAGGTGTGGCCACGTCTCTTCTGTGGACTCAGGGTGGATAGGTCCGGCTCAGTGAGGCTGAAGAGGTGATGGCCAGAGCCCAGACCCACAGCAGGTGCCACCTTTGCCAGGCTTGGTCTCTCGCCCAAACACAGTGGGCACTGGTGCCTCTCACCTGTGGAGATGCTGCGGTTCTCCCAGGAGCCGGCGACTCCATGCTTCTCCGCCCGCACAGAGACCTGGTACAAGGTCCCAGGTTCCAGTTTCTCCACAGTGTAGCGGGTGTCGACCGTGCTGTGGTTCTTAGTTCCGTCACTGCCACCTGCCCACTGGACCCGGTAGGTGTAGTTCAGAAGGTCAGGGCCGTCGGGCACCTCCCAGCTCAGGCTGATGAAGCTGTTGGTCTGCGTCTCCACACTCAGGTTCCGGACAGAGTTGGGGGCTGAGGAGGGGACAGGAGGGGGTCAGCTATGGTCTCCGGTGCCCACACCTGCTGACCTGCCTTTGCCACTGGGCCCCAGAAACGTAGGGTGCTGGTGAGACCCTCGAGTCCCACAGGGCAGCCATGGCGTCCAGGTGACAAGGAGCCCTGACTGGTGTGGCTCAGTGGTGGGAGTGTCCCGTACACCAAAAGGTTCCGGGTTTGACCTCTGTCCGGGTGGGTGTGGGAGGCAACCGATCGAAGTTGCTCTCTCACACTGATGTTTCTCTCCCTCTCTCCCTCAAATAAAGCCCGGCCAGTGTGGCTCAGTGGTTGAGCGTGGACCCATGCTCCAGGAGGTCGCCGGTTCGATTCCCGGTCAGGGCACATGCCCAGGTTGTGGGCCCGATCCCCAGGGCGGGTCATGCAGGAGGTGGCCAATCGTTGTTCTCTCTCATCGATGTTTCTCTCTCTCCCTCTCCCTCCTCTCTGTCTCTCTCAAATCAATAAGAAAAAAAAATTTTTTTAAAGCCCAGATGGTGTGGCTCAGTGAATTGAGGGTTCTCCCGTGGGCTCAGAGGTCTGGGTTCAGTTCCGGGTCAGGGCACATGCCCAGGTTGTGGGCCAAATCCCCAGTGGGGGGCATGCAGGAGGCGGCCAATCCATGTTCTCTCTCACCGATGTTTCTATCTCTCTCTTCTTCTCCCTTCCTCTCTCTCTAAAATCAATAAGGAAAACTAAACTAAACTAAACTAAACTAAAATAAAATAAAATAAAGAAAGGATACACTAGCTGGCCTAGGACCTAGAGACACCTGGGCTCCTGAAGCCCTATGCTCCGTGCACACCCCTGGACAGGTCGGTCCCCAGGTGTGGCCATGTCTCTCCTGTGGACTCTGGGTGGATGGGTCCGGCTCAGTGAGGCTGAAGAGGTGATGGCCAGAGCCCAGACCCACAGCAGGTGCCACCTTTGCCAGCCTTGGTCTCTCGCCCAAACACAGTGGGCACTGGTGCCTCTCACCTGTGGAGATGCTGCGGTTCTCCCAGGAGCCGGCGACTCCATGCTTCTCCGCCCGCACAGAGACCTGGTACAAGGTCCCGGGTTCCAGTTTCTCCACAGTGGAGCGGGTGTCGACCGTGCTGTGGTTCTTAGTTCCGTCACTGCCACCTGCCCACTGGACCCGGTAGGTGTAGTTCAGAAGGTCAGGGCCGTCGGGCACCGCCCAGCTCAGGCTGATGGAGCTGTTGGTCTGCGTCTCCACACTCAGGTTCCGGACGGAGTTGGGGGCTGAGGAGGGGACAGGAGGGGGTCAGCTATCGTCTCTGGAGCCCACACCCACTGACCTGCCTTTGCCACTGGGCCCCAGAAACGTAGGGTGCTGGTGAGACCCTCGAGTCCCACAGGGCAGCCATGGCGTCCAGGTGACAAGGAGCCCTGACTGGTGTGGCTCAGTGGTGGGAGTGTCCCGTACACCAAAAGTTTCCGGGTTTGACCTCTGTCCGGGTGGGTGTGGGAGGCAACTGATCGATGTTGCTCTCTCACACTGATGTTTCTCTCCCTCTCTCCCTCAAATAAAGCCCAGCCAGTGTGGCTCAGTGGTTGAGCGTGGACCCATGCTCCAGGAGGTCGCCGGTTCGATTCCCGGTCAGGGCACATGCCCAGGTTGTGGGCCCGATCCCCAGGGCGGGTCATGCAGGAGGTGGTCAATCGATGTTCTCTCTCATTGATTTTTCTGTCTCTCTCTCCCTCTCCCTCCTCTCTGTCTCTCTCAAATCAATAAAGAAAAAAAAATTTTTTTAAAGCCCAGCCGGTGTGGCTCAGTGAATTGAGGGTTCTCCCGTGGGCTCAGAGGTCCAGGTTCAGTTCCCGGTCAGGGCACATGCCCAGTTTGTGGGCCAAATCCCCAGTGGGGGGCATGCAGGAGGCGGCCAATCCATGTTCTCTCTCACCGATGTTTCTATCTCTCTCTTCTTCTCCCTTCCTCTCTCTCTAAAATCAATAAGGAAAACTAAACTAAACTAAACTAAAATAAAATAAAATAAAATAAAATAAAATAAAATAAAATAAAATAAAATAAAGAAAGGACACACTAGCTGGCCTAGGACCTAGAGACACCTGGGCTCCTGAAGCCCTATGCTCCGTGCACACCCCTGGACAGGTCGGTCCCCAGGTGTGGCCATGTCTCTCCTGTGGACTCTGGGTGGATGGGTCCGGCTCAGTGAGGCTGAAGAGGTGATGGCCAGAGCCCAGACCCAAAGCAGGTGCCACCTTTGCCAGGCTTGGTCTCTCGCCCAAACACAGTGGGCACTGGTGCCTCTCACCTGTGGAGATGCTGCGGTTCTCCCAGGAGCCGGCGACTCCATGCTTCTCCGCCCGCACAGAGACCTGGTACAAGGTCCCGGGTTCCAGTTTCTCCACAGTGTAGCGGGTGTCGACCGTGCTGTGGTTCTTAGTTCCGTCACTGCCACCTGCCCACTGGACCCGGTAGGTGTAGTTCAGAAGGTCAGGGCCGTCGGGCACCGCCCAGCTCAGGCTGATGGAGCTGTTGGTCTGCGTCTCCACACTCAGGTTCCGGACGGAGTTGGGGGCTGAGGCAAGAAGAAGGATCAGGGTCTGCAGGGGTGCAGATTACGGGAGACACTCGGGGGCATTTCTGATGCTCAAAATTCCCAGGCTGGCCCCCTCCACAGCCCTGCTTGCTAAGCAGAGACAGTCCCTAGCATTAAGGTCTAGAAAGTTTCTCGAACTCCTAACTCAGGGACAGGAGGGCCCACGGACAGCCCCTGGGATGTGGCCAGTCTCTCCCGGAGCCTCGTCGGAGGTCAGGCCCAATGCCTGTTGGTCCCCGTTTGCTGACACCTCCTCCCACAGGGTCTCAGCCACCCCTCCGGACCCCGGGGAGGAGAACAGCCAGCGGACATGGGTGCCCCTGACCTGTGTAGCCCTCGAGGGTCTCCATGGAGCTGGGGACTCTGTTCTTCTCCGCCCACTCGGAAAACTCATAGGAGGACGCCGACTGGAGTTCGTCCACGGTGAAACTGGTGTCTGTTGTGTTTCGGCTCTCATTTTTGTCCCCATGCCCAGGCCACTGGACGCAGTAGGTGTAGTTCTGAGGGTTTGTGCTGTTAGGGGCCTCCCAGCTCAGGCTGATGGAGCTGTTGGTCTGCGTCACCACACGCAGGTTCCTGACCGGGTTGGGGGCTGAGGAGGGGACAGGACGGGGTCAGCTGTGGCCTCGGGGCTCACCTCTGCTGGCCCACATCTCTCTCCCTCTCCTTTCCTCTCTCTCTAAAAATCAATAGAGAAAAAATATAATTTAAAAGAATAATTAAAAAGGTTTTGGGTTTGACTCTGGGTCAGAGCACATACCTAGATTTTAGGTTCAATCCCTGGTTCAGGTTTGTGTGGGAGGCAACCAATCGATGTTTCTTTCTCACATCAATGTTTCTCTCTCTCTCTCTCTCTCTCAAACCAATAAATATATCCTCAGTTGAGGATTTTAAAATAATAATAATGCCCTGGCCGGTTTGGCTCAGCAGTTAGAGCGCTGGCCTGCGGTCCAGAGAGACCCGGGTTCGGTTCCCGCTAAGGGCATGTGCCTCGGTTGCAGTTTGTCCCCGGCCCTGGTTGGTTGTGCGGGTGGCAACCACTTGGTGTGTCCCTTTCACATCGATGTTTCTCTCTCTCTCTTCCTCCCACTCTATCTGAAATAAAAAAATGGAAAAAAGTCCTTGGGTGAGGATAAAAAATAAAAAAATACAATATAATATAATAATAATAAAATACATGCTGAGTTTGAAGAATTGGGGTGAAGTTAAGCCTGTACAAAATCTCATTGGTCTTCTTTTACATCGACTACATGTCAGAATGATAACATTTTGAATCCACTGGGCTAAATAAACTCTTTTTTTTTTTCCGTTCATTTTTAGAGAGGGAGGGAGGGAGGAAGAGAGAGAGAGAGAGAAACATTAATGTGACAGAAACACATCGATTGGTTGCCTCCCTCATGGGCCCAGACCCTGGCGGGGATTGAACCTGCCACCCAAGTATGTGCCCTTGACTGGGAATTGAACCCAAGACCCTGTGGTCTTAAGGCCAATGCTCTAACCACTGAGCCAAGCAGGCCAGGACTAAGCTCAGTCTTTATCATGAACTTCACCTGTTTTTTGTTTGTTTGTTTTTTATCCTCACCCGAGGACATTTTTCCATTTTTTGTTCAGATAGAGTGGGAGGCAGAGAGAGGGAGAAACATCGATGTGAAAGGGACACATCGGGTGACTGCCACCTGCACGACCAACCAGGGCCAGGGACAAACTGCAACCGAGGTACGTGCCCTTAGCAGGAACCGAACCCGGATCTCTCTGGACCGTAGGCCGACGCTCCAACTGCTGAGCCAAACCGGCCAGGGCTCACCTGTTCCTTTTACTTATTTCAGTGGGGTGACGGAAAGCATGGACTGACACGTGTGGCTTCCGCTCTGTCAGCTACAGAACCTGCCGGCCTCCCCTCTGGGCTCTTGGGCACCGTCAGAAAACAACCAACCACCGGACACCAAACAGGGGCCGCCTCTCACCTGTGGCCGCACTGAGGGTCTGGGGGAAGCTCTGGACACCGTCTGCCTCCACCCTCACGGAGAATTCATACCAGGACTCGGGTTCGAGTTCCTCCACTGTGTAATTGGTGTCTTTCGTGGATCGATTCTCATTTTTGTCTCCCGGTTGGGCCCACTGGACCCAGTAGGTGTAGTTCGGGTTTGAGCCTTCAGGGGCGTCCCAGCTCAGGCTGATGGAGCTATTAGTCTGTGTCTGCACCCTCAGGTTGTTGACGGCATTGGGGTCTGAGAATTGGGAAGGAAGGCCGGGTGTCAGCAGGGGAGCCTGAACACCACGCCCAAAAAACCACTCCCGCCGGCACCTGCCATGGGTCTTTGTGGCCTTCATGGAGACCCCCCAGAAGCTCCTGAGAGACGAGGTGCTACCTCTCTGTGCGGGATCACTCACCGGCTGCCCTGGCCCCGGTCCAGATGCACAGGCCCTGGGGAGAGCCCAGAGGGGAGAATCAGAGTCGGAGCGCCCCCTCAGGTGAGAAGGGGGCTGGACCTCTGCCCCCACAACATCACCACCTCCAGGCTGAGCTTTGACAAAGGTCAAAGGTCGCCCAGTGGCCACCTGCCTTTTCTAGGTGTGTGTTGAGGGGCAGAGGCGGGGCTCCCGGGACCCAGGAGCTGGGGTTGGCTCCACCCACAGGCCTGGAGATAAAGTGAATGGTTTCACTTCCTGAAGTAACGTATAGCCTTGGAGGACCAGAAGCAGAAACGTAAGCAACACGTTGCTGGTTAAAGAATAATACTGGCCCAGTCCGTGAGGCTCAGTGGATGGAAGGTCATCCCACAGACTGAGAGGACCCAGTTCCATTCCGGCCAGGCCCAGGCCCGGGTTTCGAGCTTGGTCCCCAGTAGGGGGCGTGCAGGAGGCAGCCAATAGATGTTTCTCTCACACAGATGTTTCTGTCTCTCTCCCTTCCTCTCTCTCTAAAAAAAATCAATAAAACATTAAAAATAATAATACTGAAATAAAATTTAAAAAGAAACTGGGAATAGGGGAGAAACTGAGGCTGGGGCACAGAGGCCAGATACCCAGTCTGATGGTGTCTGACTGAGGTTAGAGCCTTGGCTCCTGGTCTGAGGGAGGAGGGGCTGGGGGCCTGGATTCCTGGGTCTGAGGGAGGAAGGGCTGGGGGCCTGGACTCCTGGGTCTGAGGGAGGAGGGCTGGGGGCCTGGATTCCTGGGTCTGAGGGAGGAAGGGCTGGGGGCCTGGACTCCCGGGTCTGAGGGAGGAGGGCTGGGGGCCTGGATTCCTGGGTCTGAGGGAGGAAGGGCTGGGGGCCTGGACCCCTGGGTCTGAGGGAGGAGGGCTGGGGGCCTGGATTCCTGGGTCTGAGGGAGGAAGGGCTGGGGGCCTGGACTCCCGGGTCTGAGGGAGGAGGGCTGGGGGCCTGGACTCCTGGGTCTGAGAGAGGAGGGCTGGGGGCCTGGACTCCTGGGTCTGAGGGAGGAGGGCTGGGGGCCTGGACTCCTGGGTCTGAGGGAGGAGGGGCTGGGGGCCTGGAGTCCTGGGTCTGAGGGAGGAGGGCTGGGGGCCCGGACTCCTGGGTCTGAGGGAGGAGGGGCTGGGGGCCTGGGCTCCTGGGTGTGAGGGAGGAGGCTGGGGGCCCGGACTCCTGGGTCTGAGGGAGGAGGGGCTGGGGGCCTGGACTCCTGGGTCTGAGGGAGGAGGGGCTGGGGGCCTGGACTCCTGGGTCTGAGGGAGGAGGGCTGGGGGCCTGGACTCCTGGGTCTGAGAGAGGAGGGGCTGGGGGCCTGGACTCCTGGGTCTGAGGGAGGAGGGGCTGGGGGCCTGGGCTCCTGGGTCTGAGGGAGGAGGGGCTGGGGGCCTGGAGTCCTGGGTCTGAGGGAGAAGGGCTGGGGACCTGGACTCCTGGGTCTGAGGAAGGAGGGCTGGGGGCAGGGATGGCAGGGTCTTTGTAAACCAGAATTTACTCACTCCAGACAGTCATATCTCAGAACCCAGGTGGATGACTCTCCAACAATCTCCCGGAACCTAGACCTCTGCTTTCTTCTCCCGGGAACCACGCACGCTTACTCCCTCCGGACCCCAGTTCCGGGACCCCAGTCCCCCCATCCCTCAGGCCCAGCCGTGGCTCCCTGTCTCCTGTCCCTCCCAGAGACCCTGCTGGGCTGGCTGGGAACACTCACCAGCAGCAGCAGGGACCCGCAGGCCCTGAGGCCCCCACCAGACCCAGTCATGTCTGCCGACACTCCGAGGGACCCAGGTGTCCTCGCCCCGGGCCTTCCTCCTGCCCGACTTCAAATGGAAGCATTTCCCCTTTCCTAGCCGGGCGCAGGCGGCGGGGCCACAGGTCAGGTAGGGCAGGGAGGAGGAGGAAGTGAAGGCTGCAGGCTGGCTCCCAGCCCCGCCCCTGCCCTCTGCCTGGGTCACCGCTCCTGGACCCTCCTTTGTCCTGAAAAAAACCAGGACAGGGCACTGCTTCCCCGCTGGTGCCCGACAACGCAGTCACAGCCCGCCTCCTAGCTGCACTCTGGTCACACAACTCTTCATATTTATTTTGTAGGTACCAGGTACCCCCGGCTGTTTCCAATGCCCCAGTCTAGGCAGGTGCTGTTTCCTGGTAAGTTCTTTTTCCACCAGCTGAGGCCAAGCCTGTTCCACTTGGGGCTGACCCCGGGTACTCAACCACTCCCTCCCGTGTGAGCTCCCCTAAGCAAATCTCTAATTATAATACTCAGGACACCGTGTGCGGCTGTGTGTGGCCTGCCCTTGGAGGCTGGGGACGAGCCTTTGCCCCTCGGCAGCCACAGGGCCAAGTCCACCCTCGGGCACCCATGGATTCCAGCCTGTGCCTCTCCTTATCCGACCCCGCCCTCCTTGGTCAGGTGGCGCTCCGCTCAGTCTGGGTGTCATCCTCCACCAGTGCCGGTGAAGCAGCCCGACGCCCACACCTCACTCACCACTCCGTGTCCTCTCAGCCACACGGTGGGGAGCCCAGGGAATAACGGACCTGCCTCGCCACGTTGCAGGAGGACCGGGGGTCCTGGCTCCCCTCTCTGGCTGAAGGGAGGAAAAAAGCAGAACTCAGGGATGGGGGGGACCTGCAGAAGGGTGGTTCCCGGGGACATCACAGACCCCAGCTCAGTTCCCAAAGCTGCCCCCACACCCGAAAGTCCTTGGGAAAAGCCATGGATGCCTTTTCTCCCAATGTCATCAGTCAGGGTGCCCTTTATTTATTTGTTTTAATGTTTGTTTGTTTATTGTTTTTTTGTTTTTTTTATCCTCACCCGAGGACATTTTTCCATTTTTTTGTTCAGGTAGAGTGGGAGGGAGAGAGAGGAACAGAGAGAGAGAGAGAGAAACATCGACGTGAAAGGGACACATCGAGTGGCTGCCACCCGCACGACCAACCAGGGCCGGGGACAAACTGCAACCGAGGTACATGCCCTTAGCGGGAACCGAACCCGGGTCTCTCAGGACCGCAGGCCGACGCTCTAACCGCTGAGCCAAACCGGCCAGGGCTGTTTGTTTGTTTAATTCCTCACCTGAGGATATTTTTCTACTTATTATCAGATAGAGTCGGAGGGAAGGAGAGAGACAGAGAGAAGTATTGTTGTGATAGAGCCACATCGACTGGTTACCAACCGCATGACCCCACCAGGGCCGGGGACGAACTGCAACCAAGGTACGTGCCCTTGACCGGTATTGAACCCACAGCTCACTGGTCTGCGAGCCAACGCTCTAACCGCTGAGCCAAACTGGCCAGGGCTTAATATGTTTTTTTGTTGTTGTTTTTTTTTTCTTTATTGATTTTAGAGAGAGAGGAAGGGAAAGGGAGAGAGAGAGAGAGAAACATCGATGAGAGAGAACATCGGACTGGCCACCTCCTGCGTGGCCCTCACTGGGGATGTGGCCCACAACCCGGGCATGTGCCCTGACTGGGAATCGAACCAGAACCTCTCAGTCCATGAGCTGACGCTCAGTCCACTGAGCCACACCGGCCAGGCCAGGATGCCCTTTGGAGACCCAGAGATGTACAGATTTCACTGGGCAGGAGGCAGGAAATAAACAGGGACTTCTCCTGGCCCCCCGCTGGCTCTGAGGAACAAAAATGGACTTTCTCTAAGTCCTATCATGATGTATAACTACATCCTCACTACGGGAGGGGCAGCCAGAATCCAGTCTCTGCATTTGGCCATCACCCCCCAATCCTGCCATCCTCACCCCCAGCCCTTGGCAACCAACCACTCATCTACTCTGTCTCCTCACCCCATTCCGGACTCGCCACAGAAATGGAATCCTATCAGAAGGGCCTTTGGAACGGGCCTCTTTCAGCCAGGGTAAGGTGTTCCAAGTTGGTGCATTTTGTCACCTGTCACAGGACTTCATTCCTGTTTACGTCCAAGTAATATTCCACAGACCCACGTTTTTAAGGGGCTGGCTGACAGGTGATTGCTGCCCTGTGGGACCAGACGCTGGTGAAGCTACGGACCGCCCGAGGCCGCCAGCAGCTGGGACACAGGCACGGAGCACATTCCCACACAGACCGCAGAAGGAACCAACCCTGTTTGTGAAAAAAAATAGAACGTGGTCTCCAGACAGGCGGGGGTGGTACGCGGCTCCTTGGCTCTTCTTGCTGGGATGGGAGGTTGTCCTGGGGCCCTTTAGGAGGGGAAGGGAGGGGGTGCTCGCGCCCCTATATAGTCCGTCCTGAGCCTCCCAGGGCCATGGGGACCTGGGTAGTGTAGCAGCAGGTGGTCATGACCAGCAGGTGGGCGTGGAAATCCCAGGCCAAAAGGGCATCTGAGATTGTGAAGGGCAGAGACCCCCACCCAGAACACCTGCCCCTCTTCAGGCCAGGCCACAGCATTCCTGCCTCACCAGGCCCTAGGTGAATGGGGACCCTAGCCTAAAGGTGCAGCAGGGGCTACAAATCAGTGGTGGGCTTTGCGGGTCCCTATAAGCACATTATGGATATAAATCTCCTTTGTGCTATAAGAGTCCCCTAAAGCCTGTCAGGTATGTAAATCTCCTCTCTGCTATAAAAGTTCCTTAAAGCCTGTCAGGTATGTAAATCTCCTCTCTGCTATAAAAGTCCCTTAAAGCATGTCTTGGCTGTGTCTCCTCTCTGCTTTAAGAGTCCCTTAAAGCACATCATAGATGTAGAAATCAGGCAGGGTTTGGAGAGCAGCTCTGGCCACTTCACGTCCTCACATGCAGATCCTAAGGCCCAGAGAGGGACAGTGGGCTGCCAAGGTCACAGCCAGGATGAACGCCACACATGGGTTCGTTCTTCTTTATTACCCTAGTGCCACCCCACGGCTACCCATCCCTTCCGATAGCTCCGCTCATCTTTGCGTCTCCTCACCGCCCCAACCCTCTCCTGGGCTCCTGTCTGTGCCTGGAGCGGGTTGAATTGTGTCCCCTGAAAAGAGGTATCCACGTCCTAAGCCCTGGTCCCGAGGGAGGTGACATTTACAAACAGGGCCTTTGGAGACGTCTTCAAGTTAAGGATCTCACGGCGGCGAGACCATCCTGGATTTAGGGCGGACCCTGAATCCAGGGACGGATGCCCTGGGGAGCGGAGACGCACAGCCACAGCGGGCGAAGGCCCTGTGAAAAGGGACGCGCAGGTCATCAGAGGGCGCCCCGTGGCTGGAACCACCAGCAGCTGGGAAAGGCAGGAAGGGCCCTCCCCGGAGCCGGGGAGGGAGCGAGGCCCTGACCACACCTTGACTTTGGACATGTGGCCTCCCCAGCTTGAGAGACTGAACTGCGGTGGTCGTAAGCCCCCCAGTTTGTGGTGATTTGTGGCAGCAGTCCCAGGAACACACACATGGACCAAAGTCTCCCCCTGGCCTCAGACCTGCAGAATCATCCCAATAACGGGCATATGCATCGCACCGCCACCAAAGCCGCCTTGGAGAAGTGCCTCTCCCGCACCCTGGGCCCAGCAGAGCTGCCTGTGCACACAACGAATGCTGCACTGCACACCTAAACCGCAGTCCGGGGGTGAATCTCACTAAGTGTTCTCTTTAAAAAAATTTTTTTTCCTTTATTGATTTTAGAGAGAGAAGAAGGGAGAGGGAGAGACAGAAACATCGATGAGAGAGAACATCGACTGGCCGCCACCTGCACGCCCCCCCACTGGGGATCGGGCCCACAACCTGGGCGTGTGCCCTGATCAGGAATCAAACCCCGGGGACCTCTTGGTGAAGGGGTCGATGCTCAACCACTGAGCCACACCAGCCAGATTCGCTAAAGGTTCTTAACACAAGAATAAAAAAGCGTGCACACACCACACACCACTGCAAATGTACTTAATGTCACCGAATCGTACACTTGAAAATGGTAAATTTCGTTGTTAAGGGGAAGAAAGAAGAGATGCCCTTTTGCTGTTACGGTGATTACGGTCCCCTGTACCCCTCCCCCAGGAGAGGAGCTGTCCAGTCCCCTTTCCTCAGGCAACAAAGAAAACCTTTAGGGCCTGAGGGGAGGGGCCAGCAGAGGCTGCCTGAGGTCACAGGCGCAAGTGTGGGCTTGGGGAGGGCCCAGCGTGGGTCTGGTTGAGAGGCCCAGGACCCAGAATCAGAACCAAGGGACGGCGTTTGGAAGTCGGCGGTGGATACGGGATTCTGCGCGTGGTTTCCACATGTCCGAGGTGGACGGAGGCCTGCAGACGGGAGTCCGGGGACCTGGCTTCGGCCCCCAGTGGCCTGCCTGGAAGGCTCAGGTCCTGGCAGCAGGGGCGCTGGCAGGCGGACGCCAGCCTGTCTGGGCCACTCGTCAGTTGGTCTTTGGCCTGGGGCTCTGGAAGCTGGACAAGGTGATGAGGAACTGGGCGGCGTAGTAGGTGGCCATGACCAGCAGGCGGGCATGGGCCAGGGGCTGGATGAAGGCGTCCCAGGACAGCAGGGTGTCAGAGATGGCGAAGAGCAAGGCGCCCCAGCCGGCGCTGCCGCCCCTGGCCAGGCCCCGCCACAGCATGGTGGACAGGGCCAGGGCGTAGGCCGTCAGGGGCAGGACCAGGTCTGGGGAGAGGTGAAGCAGCAGGAGGCCGTAGAACGGGAGGGAGGCCAGGGCGATGGGCAGCAGGAGGCCCGGCTGCAGGGGTCTGAAGCCGAAGGCCCAGACGTAGAGCAGCTGGGCCACGGTGAAGGCAAGGACGCCTGGAAGACGGGGGTGGGGCGCCTGGTGAGACCTGCCCCCCTGCCCCCACCCCCACCAGCTCCCACCTGGCCCCTGGGGGTCCCACGTCCCCCTGCCCTGGGGCCATGCGTGTTCCCTGTGGTATCTACTCTGTGCAGAACTGCCCCTCGACTCCACCCGCTCGCCCACCCCAGGGCCTTGGCACTTGCTGGTCCCTCTGCCTAGACCAGTGTGTGCAGTCCTTCCCACACCCTCACCAAGACGCTTGTTCCTTTTCCCTGCAACTGTCCTACTGCAGCCGGGCCTGGGACCCCGCACTCCACTTCCTCGCTGCCTGCCACTCACTCGCTCCAGTCGGGCTGAGCTCCCCAGGGTAGGGGTCTGGGTGTTGGTCACCGAGGTGCCCCCTGCACCCGGGACCCCCTGCGAGCCGCACTCCCTGCTCACCACGGAGAAAGGCCTGGGGCCAGATGAGGAAGACATCTCCGAGGGCAGAGAAGACCAGGGCCCCCTGCAGGACCGAGCTGTGGGCGCCCCCAGGGCACACCCGCAGGAGCCCCAGCAGGCACAGCACCGGCAGGCCCTTGACCAGCGCGCCGACCCAGGACGGCGGGTCCTCGGGGATCCAGAGGAGGAAGTAGGCGGCGCAGGAGAGAAAGAAGGGGCTCAGGGTGCCCAGGCGCGGCTGCCTCCGGGACAAGGGAGCGGCTCAGACCCCGCTCAGCCCAGCCCCCCCCCCCCAGGCTCCAGCCAGCCCCCAGCCCTGGAAGTCAGGCTCCACCGGGCCAAGACTCAGGTCTTGGGGCTTCCATCCCATCCCCACCCAAGGACCCCAGGATGTCCAGCCCCACAGAACCCAGCTTTGCAGGAGGCCAGGACCCCCAATTCCTCCAGCCTGCTCCGGTCCCCAGGAGCCCAGGTCCAGCCCCCCTCCCACACTCAGTGGCTCTCACTTGGGCTGAGAAATGAGGATTTCGGGGCAGACCCTCTTTCCGGGCGTCCATGTCAGCCTGTGAGCCCCCCCTGGGTGGCCAGTATGTGGATGCCAATGGCTTTGGGGTGGAGGGGATGGCGTGTGGTTACACGTTAACCCGAGGAGTGTCCTGTGGACTCTTGAACTGATAACAGCACAGGGATGGCTCTGCCTGGCACCTGCAGATAAGGCGCCCACCGGGGCGCAGGGGTTCCCCCTCCCCCCCAGACCAGGTTTCTTCCCCCTCGCCACTGTGAGCTTCGGGTGCAAATGCCCCTCACAGTCCCGCCCTCCTTCACTGGGGGACAGGGGCGCCATCACCCTGCATCTCAGGTGGAGGACCCTGCCAGAGCAATGAGAGCCCCTCCCCCTGGCTACCCGGGATCCTCCTGCCTGGGCTTCCCTCCCCGTGGCCCCCCCACGTCCTCATCTAACAAATGCCAACGATGACCTGGCAGTTCGAGGTCCCTAGCAGCCAATGGCCCCGGCCTGGAGGGCACCCACCAGAAGGGGATTTCCCACGGGGTCTGGTGAGTGCCCAGTCTGCTCTTGAACTCCACCCCTGAAGTCGAGGACCTACTGGGCACCGGCAGGGCACTCAGGCTGCCTTGGTGACCTCTGACCTCCCACTGCTCCACCTGAGGGTAGAGGGTCAGAGCACGTGACCTGCGAGATCGCCTCCATGGCCGGGCAGATGAGGGCAGAACAGTGGACACATGAGGTTGGGGTGACTAAGGGGTTCCCAGATGACAACTCTCCACCCGCACCCCACGCGGAACTCAAGGTTCAAACAGCAGGCGTCGTAAATGGTCTGTTTATTCGTCTCTGCAGTGTGAAACCGCTTGCACGCGCACGCCAGCCGAGGGAGCTGGAACAAGGTCACTTGGCAGCTGGGCTGGACCCCTACCCCCAGGCACTGGAGGGGGACCCCAGCCAGACCCCCGAACACCTGCCCAGGGTGTGGGAGAGGTGCAGGGCCTCGGGGGAATGTCACTGGAGAGGCGCCCTTGGACCAGGACCCCAGCCCGGGGAAAGTGCAGGGCCGGGGCGCAGGGCTGGGCCAAGGTGTGGCCCCACTCGGGCTCCGGGGGCCTGAGCGGAAAGGTCATGTGGGTGTGGGCATCGGAACCAGGGGCACAGTGGGAGGGGAGGGTGGCTGGCACCTCAGGGACCCCAGCCCTGCCCGGGGCCTGGCTTCCCTCCTGCTCACCCACCCTCCCCCTCGACACATATATAACATATAACACAGGTCTCTCCCGTCCTCGCCTGACATGTACGTAACATATAACACAGGTCTCTTCCGTCCTCGCTCTCTCTACTAGGCTCCGTGTCTTTATTCTAGGAGACAAAACTCCATCATTTCTTTTCTCAGTGCAAATGGGGGCGGGTGGGCCTGTCTCCCTGGCACCAGCCTTAGGGAGTCCGGAGAAGAGAGCATGGGGTGGGGTGGGGGTGGGGTGGGGTGGGCGCTGGGGCCACAGGCCGCCACGGGACTGCCCTGCCCCCGCCCAGGCAGGGTCCGCGCCCAGGATGAGGATCTGGCCGCCGTCACTGGAACCAGGCAGTTACCTGGGAACCAAGAGGGAGATGGAGGTGAGGAGCCCCCGGCCCACCTGCCTCCCACCCCAGCCCCAGCCGCCTGCTACTCACTGGGCGCCTGGGGACACTGGCCCTCCCTGGGCAGAGCCGTTGGGCACTGGAGACAGCTGGAGGGCTTGGGCACTGTCGGGAGAGGGACGTGAGAGGCCAGTGCCCCCCCCCACAATGACACCCCGCCAGCTGCAAGGCTCCTCCATGCTCACCTCTGGCTTTGGGGGAACCCTGAGGGCTCTGGGCTCTTCTCCCTCTCCGTGGTCTTAGGGGGCTGGTGGGCACCAGGGGCTGGGACAGAGGTAGCAGGGTCTCTGGTTGCACTGTGGGGAGCCAGAGGGTTAGTGGCCCACAACCCTGTGTAAGGAGGGGGGCAGCCCGCAGAAGCCAGCGCAGGCGGAACTGGAGGATGGCGGGCACCCTCCTCGTGCCCTCCTGCCCATGGGCTGAACTGGCAGACGGCGCTCTAGGACCCTGTGTGACATCCTGCTGGCACGGGCACAGGCCTAGATGGTCCTGCAAGGGCCCCCTGGAGCAGCTCGGGGCAGGGACAAGCCCAAGGGCCAGGCTTTATTCACCTCCCCCACGCAACCCCCCAGAAGCTGCTCCCGCAGGTCACCTGTCCAAGGAGCTGGGGGCGGAGCTCGTCCCTCGGAGGGTGGCCTGGAGGTCCCTGACGCTGACCAAGGCCTGACAGGGGGCTGTGCGGAAGAGACGGAGACTCAGCAAGCCCTCGGCACCAGCAGCACGCTGGAGGCCGGGCCACAGGGAGGGCGCGCCACTGACCTGAGGGCTCCGCTGCCCTGCCGCTGTCTGAGGCTTCCTGAGGTGCTGAGGGTGCAGGGTCCTGGGACCTGCAAGGTGAGGGAAGCAGCCCCAGGAGGCAGCTGGGTTGGCCCTGACGCCTAAGGGGCCCAGGACGCAGTGCCCGCCTCCCAGCCTCGCCTCCCGGCCTCACCTGAGCTGCAGGGTGCCGGGGGCCACAGGGCCAGCTGGGCTCGGGGCGGGGAGGTCCTGGGGCACACTGAGGGGCCCCTTTGGGGCAGGGGGCCTGAAGCATGGCTCCTTCGCCCCAGATTCCTGGGGGCTGGTCAGGGCATCTGTAGGCACTGGGTCAAAGGTGGCTGTCCAGCTGGGGCCTGGGCGGGGGCAGGGCAGCGGTGAGTGGGCAGGCAGACACCTGCACCCACCCGACCACGCCCCACCCTGCCCATTCACTCACTGGGAGGCTGGGGGCCAGGGCTGGGGTAAGAGGAAGGCCTGGCCCCACCTGGGGCCACCTCCTCCTCGTCGACGTCCTCGTCGTCGTCCTCCTCGTCTTCCTCCTCCTCCTCGCTATCTGTGCTGCCTCCACTCCTGCCCCAGACACCAGCCATCAGCCGGCACTGCAGCCGGGACGGAGTGGGAGCCCCCTCCCCAGGGAGGGCCCGGGAGGGTGGTGCTGTCACACTGCACCCCTGGCCAGTGGGGCAGCCAGCGTCCACCGTGCACTGCAGGTCGCGGCTCGATCCCGGTCAAGGACAGGCGCCTGGGTTCCAGCCCGGGCCAGGGTGCTAGTGGAAGGTAACCAACTGATGTCTCTCTCTCTTTCCCTCTCCACCCCCCACTCTCTCTGGAAATCAATGGAAAAAACACTCTCAGGTGAGGATTAACAAGAGAAAATAGATAGCCAGCCAGTGTGGCTCGGCGGACCGAGCGCCGTCCCACGGACTGAGGTCCCGGTATGATTCCCAGTCGGCACACGCCTGGGTTGTGGGCTCGGTCCCCAGTTGGGGGCCTGCAGGAGGCAGTTGATCGATGTGTCTCTTTCACATCAATGTTTCTCTCTCCCTAAAAAAAAAAAATCAATAAAAACATTAAAAATAAAGAAAATCTTAAAAAAAAAAAAGTAATTTTAATGAAAATAAGCAAAAAACTTATGCTCTGAAAACTACAAAATGCTCCTGAAAGTTAGAAATAGCCAACTTCATGGAAACACACCCACACCCATGGACCAGGAGACATCGCTGTACTGAGCGGCAGGCTCAGAATCCCACCCGGCTCTCCTGCTGAAGCGACAAGCTGATCCCAAAGTTCAGGTATCTCAGGGAGCCCGGAACAGGCTCTCCAACGCCAGACTACTGCAACACAGTCATCCAGACTGGGCAGCCTCGACCCGGAGGAGGACAGACCCTGCACCGAGGGTGCCAGGGCCAGTGACCGGGAAAGACTGGCCTCGGGTGCTGCTGGGACAGCGGCACGCCCACAAGCAGCAGGATGGAGCTTGCCCCCGCCCGCTGCTCAGCGTGGATCCACACCTAACCTGAGAGCTGATGCTGCCTGCTCAAGAAAACCAGTGAATCGTGACCTTGGACTTGGCTGGTCACAGAGTGGGACACCGGAGAAAGGCCAACGAACGCACTATACCCACCACGGCAACGGCCTTCACAGACAGAAAAGCCAAAAACCCATCCACAGAGCAAGATGTCAGAGCAGGGCCACCCTCGGGAGGGCAGGCAGCAGCCGGCAGAGGTACAGGGACGGCCCTACAGTCAAGATTCCTGTACTCGCCTGTATGCTTGTTATACGTCCGTTAAAAAGGTAAAATGCTCCACCCGGCCGCTGTGGCTCAGTGGTTGAGCACTGACCCTGCACCAAGAGGCCGCTAGCTCGATTCCCGGTCAGGACATATGCCCAGGCTGTGGGCCTGATCCCGTCAAGGGCATGCAGGAGGCGGCCAGGCCAATCGATGTTGTCTCTCATTGATGTTTCTCTCTCTCTCCCTCTCCCTCCCTCTCCCAAAATCAATAAAGAAAAAAAAACACAGGTAAAATGCTCTAATCTTCCAATGAGAAGCCCCGGGGGCAGAGGCTGTCGCAGGCACAGAGTTGTTCCCACTAGGAAACCCACATGGCATGACCGTGGTGATGCCGGGCCAGCCAGAATGGAGGAAAGTAATGCAACACTGGCACAGGGAGCCAGCCACAGCTTCCTGACATTTGGCCTGTAAGGGACAATCATCGCCTGTCATGCGACTGAAATCAGGGGAAGGGAAGCTGATGGGACCATCCCACCACCTTTTTGGGAACACCTGCATGAGTGCTAACACTGGAAAGCAGAGCCAAAGGTGGAGGAGGTGACACTGGCTGGAGCTGCACCTGGATCAGCCAGACCTGAAGGAGCCCCCTTGTGTTCCAGCCACCCATAAGCTGTTGCCCTGTTCTTCGTGTAGCTTAATCACCCAAACTGGGTTTCTATCCCCAAGAACTGAGTGTGCCCCAGCGAGCACACACAGCCCGTTCTCCTCACGCCTCACTCACTCAAGCCAACGAGCACGCTCCACGTAAGCCCTGCAGACCCCGCCCCAGCCTGGAAAAGGAGGTGGGCCCTGGCTGGTTTGGTTCAGCGGTTAGAGCATCGGCCCGTGGACCAGAGAGACCTGGGTTCGGTTCCCACTACGGGCACGTACCTCGGTTGTGGTTTGTCCCCGGCCCTGGTTGGGGTTATGTGGGTGGCAGCCACTCGATGTGCTTCTATCACCTCGATGTCTCTCTCTCCCTCCCACTCTATCTTAAGATAAATGCAAAAATGTCCTCAGGAGAGGAAAAAGAAAAGGAGGTGAGAGTGGGACTCACCGCATACCCGGGGGCTGGCCCAGGCGCCCCGCCCTGGCCAGCTGGCTGCCCTGCCAGGCGCCATCCTCCCCGTCAGACTCCACGGAGCCCCGGCCCTCCTCCTCCTCCTCCTCGTCCTCCTCGTCATCGAACTGCTGGATCCGGTCCTTGTAGCACATCTCGAGCAGGTTGGCGTTGGGCTGCGGGCGCAGGCGGCAGAGTGGGGTTGGCAGCACTGCCCACAGCCCCCACCACAGGACAGGGCAGCACTCACGTTCTCGTCGTCGGCATTGAGGGAAAAGGTGATGTTGGCTGTCTTGTCAAAAGGTGCGCTGGAGAGAGCAGGGGCAGCTGAGCCAGGCGGCCTCCTGCTCCTTCCCACCCTCACTGCACAGCGGCCTCCGTCAGCGCCCCCTTGCTGACACCCATCTGCAGAGCTGGGGTCCCGGCCTCTGCCCTCCTGTCCCCTCCTCGCAGAGGTGCCCCAGGGGACCGTGTGGAGCAGGAATCCTGGTTTCAGCGGCCGCTCCTGCCTGTCCCTGGACCCCAGCCCCTGGATGCCCTGCTCGCCCCTAAGGGGCCAGAAGGGCCCTGTTCCATCTGCTTCCCCACTGTCTGCCTCAGGGCACCACGGGCTCATTCTTCAAAACTGGCCTCTTCCACGCGGCAGGCACTTCCTTCAGGGGCCCTGCCCAGCTGGGACCCGTGCAGGCTCTCAGCCGAGTGCGACCTGCCCGGGCCGGGGGCTGACAGTGGCAGAGCCAGGCTCAGAATGGAGGCCTGGGCCGGGGGGTGGTGAAGCCACCTGTGCCCCGCGGAGACCACGGCCGCTGCTGCTACTGGACCCAGTGCCCCTGCACTCACTGGTGACGCCCCCTCCCTGCCCACAACCGACTAAACGTCCCTGTGGCAGAAACGCGGAAGGTAAAGAATGTTCCTGACCAGACGCCAGAGGCGACGACGCGAAAAGGCTGCAGCGACAAGCGCCACCGAGGGAACCGCCCTGGGAGAGGGGCTCGTGGCCCTGGCCTGTGGACGGGCAGGGCCCAGCCTGGGGCACCCCAACACTCCCAGTGACGCGGACGTGGCCTCCCAGAGGAGCGCTTACTTCACGCTTTCCTCCTGCTCCCCAAACTCCTCGTCGTTGAAGCCGAAGTGGTCTATGAAGGCGGAGGTCATGCGCTGCGTCTGGAAATCCACGAAGGCCTGCAGGGGCCGGCAGGGTGGGCAGGGTGGTCGGGGGTGGTCAGGGGCCGGCAGGGTGGGCGGGGGTGGTCAGGGGCCGGCAGGGGTGGTCAGGGGCCGGCAGGGTGGGCAGGGGTGGTCAGGGGCCGGCAGGGGTGGTCAGGGGCCGGCAGGGGTGGGCAGGGGCTGGCAGGGGTGGTCAGGGGCTGGCAGGGGTGGTCAGGGGCCGGCAGGGGTGGTCGGGGGTGGTCAGGGGCCGGCAGGGGTGGTCGGGGGTGGTCAGGGGCCGGCAGGGCTGGTCGGGGGTGGTCAGGGGCCGGCAGGGCTGGTCGGGGGTGGTCAGGGGCCGGCAGGGGTGGTCGGGGGTGGTCAGGGGCCGGCAGGGGTGGTCGGGGGTGGTCAGGGGCCGGCAGGGCTGGTCGGGGGTGGTCGGGGGCCGGCAGGGGTGGTCAGGGGCTGGCAGGGGTGGGCAGGGGCTGGCAGGGGTGGTCAGGGGCCGGCAGGGGTGGTCAGGGGCTGGCAGGGGTGGTCAGGGGCCGGCAGAAGTGGTCGGGGGCCGGCAGGGGTGGTCAGGGGCTGGCAGGGGTGGGCAGGGGCTGGCAGGGGTGGTCAGGGGCTGGCGAGGCACCGAGGACCGGCCCCCAGCCCGTGGCCCACCTGCTGCAGCACAGCCTCCTCAGGGAAGCTGAACTCCTTGAGCCGGTCGTCCTCGTCGTCACTGGAGGAGTGCAGGTGCTGGGTGTTCACCTGGGCGTGGGAGCGGGGCGTGAGGGCACTGGCTGTGGGGGCAGGGACGCCAAGAAGCAGGAGGGGGGGGGGGCTCACCAGGTCCACCATGTTCTTCTTGTTGGTCTCGGCCAGAGGTCCCGACACGAAGGCCTCCCACTGCTCCTGCTGCTCGCCTGGCAGCTCTGCGCGGGGGGCGGGGGTGTGAGGGGGCGAGGATGAGGACGTGAGGGGGGCGGGCGAGGATGAGGACGTGAGGGGGGCGAGGATGAGGACGTGGGGGGGGCAAGGGCGAGGATGTGAGGAGGGACGAGGACATGAGGGGCCCTCGCCCTCAGCACCCCACTCCGCCGGCAAGGCCCCACCTCACCCTTCAGCAGCTGCCCCAGCTGCTGGGCATTGGGCCCCTTCTCCGCGTTCTGCACCAGCGCGTTGGCCACTCTCGTCAGGTGGCCCATGTAGCCCTTCCGTGGCCCCCCTGTGGACCTGGGGAGGGTGAGGTGAAGCTGGACACAGGCCCCGGGCCTAGGCCCCCCACCCCCGCCCCGCGAAGGCGGGACACTCACTGCACGCGGTCGTTCTCCTCCCAGGACGCCAGGATGCGCGCCACCAGGCGGCACTGCTGCAGCAGCTGCGGGAGGGCCAGCCCGGTCACCGCGGCACCGCGGTCCAGGGGCCCAGAGCCCCCGCTGTGGCCTGCCATCACTCTACAAACGTGGCGCACCTTCTCAAACAGCAGCCCACCCCCCCGCTCCCCAGAACGCCTCAGCCACCCAAGTCCACTCGGTGCAGACAACCGACCCAAGTTCCTGCCCCTCCTGGGGCCTGGGCCCCACCCAGGATGCCCAGCGCCTCCTGAGGTCTCCACGTCCTCGCACCTCCCACACAGCACCCTCTACGTCTCCCAGACACGACCTAAAGACAAGTCCGAGCCCCCAACCCCCAGGACGCCGAGTCCCCCACCAAGTACTGACTCCAGGTCAGGTGAGGAACAGATCTGAACAGAGCCCCCCCCCCCGGGGAACCAAGGGGCACCCAGCAGCCCAGCTCACGTGCTTCACGACGGGGTTCGGGCCGGGCGTCCCCAAGCCGTTGTGGGGCGGGGGCCCGGCGCTCAGCATGGCGCTCACGCACACCTCCACTTGGGTGTGCAGGAAGTTGTTGAACACGTAGTGGAAGAAGAGGTCCTGGGGGGGGGAGTGCAGGCTGATGGAGAGGCCCGAGGCACCACGCCTGCCCCCCCGCCCCCTGCTCCTGCCACTCACCAGCATGGTGTTGGGCACGTCCAGTGCCAGGAGCTCCTGGGTCAGGGCGGCGTCATTGGCGCTCAGGGCGCTGGCCAGCAGCTTGACCACGTGCAGCCGTGTGTTGCCCAGTGGAGGGGCCAGGGTGCCCCAGGTCGTGCACAGTGGCTCCAGCTGCGGACACAGGGAAGCTCGGGTCCTGGCCCCCTGCTGCCCAGGACCAAGGAGCGGCCTGCCCTGCCACCCCTCCGGCCGCCCAGCCCACCTGCAGCGGCTCAAACAGGAGCTGGTGGAAGCGACCGAGCCGCGGGCGCAGGGCGTGCAGAGTGCCCAAGCTGGACACAGAGGCGTCCAGGGGCGCCGGGGCCAGGAGCTCCAGCTGTCCGTCCACACTGCTGAAGAAGTTGTTCACGACCACAGACTCGGACCTGCCTCGGGGACAGAAGGGGCAGTGAGTGGCCCAGACAGCCTGTGTGCGTGGGCGGGAGAGCAGCTGCTCCCAGCAGACGTGGGGCCCAGGGACTCAGGGCAGCAGCCCCACTGTGTTCCCCTGGATTCCGATGGGCGGCTGACTGGGCCTGTTTCCTTGGCTGTCAGATGAGAACAGGACTCCTCTCTAGGACCACAATGACTGTGAAGGGGACACTTGTGGGGGCCTGGCCCTGGGACCTCCACCCAACTAAAAACCCTGCTCTCAGGGAGTCACAGGCCGCCCCTCACCGTGGCCTCCTGGGCTCCAGCAGGGTCAGCAGCACCTGGATCCCGCTGACGAGCACGGACGGGTTCAGCTCTCCCTCCAGCATGTTGCTCAGGAGCTGCTCAATCGTCTCCTGCCTGGTCGGAGGGGTCATGGTGAAGGGCCTGGGACCCAGGTCCCCAGGACGGCTCCCCCCCCTGGGCCAGGGCATTGCCTGCAAACCCACTTCTCCAGGGTGGTCAGCAGCGGGTCGGGCTCCGGGCTGTCCTGGACTTGGATCACCTGCTCCCGGCTCAGGCGGATGATGTCGCACAGGGACTGGGATGCGTTGGAATGTTGCTGAGAAGGCGGAGAGAGAGCTGAGGACCCCAGCCCGGCCGCCAGGCCCTCCATGGCCTGGGGTAAGGACTCCCCCAAGAGCTGACCACCTGGCCCCGGCCCTTAGGAACAGGGAAGAGAGTGGCGTGGACACAGGGACATGAGCACCAAGAGAAGAAGCTCAAGGCACCGAACACTGGGGGGAGCGACGGCAGCAAGAAGGGGAAACCAAGGAAAGCTTCCTGAAAGGAGACACCCCCAGAAACCCTGCACCGTTCGGAAGCCAAAGGAAGACATCCACCAACACTGAGGGGCAACCGCGCTCCATGCACAAGCAGAACGCTCCTCTGCTGTGGAAAGGGAGGAAACACCAACACAACACAACACGGTGCACACAGAACACGGTGCTGAGGCAAAGCAGCCAGTCCCGGACCAGGTGCTGAGTGATTCCGTGGGTGTGAAACCCCCAGAAGCAGCAAACCCCAAGGCAGACAGCAGACTGCTGGCTGCCAGGGGCGGGGGAAGGCTGAGGGAAGTGGAGTAACAACTAACAGGCGCAGGGCTTCCTTCGGGAGGACACAATATACACCCAAACCACGGAACCCTGATCATAAATGTGCGGGCCCGTAGCACGTAACTATTCTCAATAAAGCTATCTCCAAAGAAAAAACAAGGGGAGAGCGTGAGCAAAACGCTGAGTCTAACCCAACAGGGTCCACAGGCAGACCCTGACCCACACAGGCTCACAGTAGGCACCCTTGTCCCTCTGCCACGGGAGCCTGGACGGCCACCCTCCTCCTGGGATGGGCGCTGGCTGGGCTCTGGGTGCTGACTGCCCGACCTGTGGGCTGGGGAAGAGCCCAGCCCCACAAGCTGCTGGCGAGGATGCGGTGCCTCCAGACATTCTCCTAAGGACAAGCAGGCCTGTCCAGGCTCAGAGCCAGAGCTGAACGGAAGGAGGGTGAGCAGCCCCCAGGCAGGGCAGCAGCGAGGGCGCAGGGCACAGAGCCCGGAGTCAGAGGACCCTCACCAGACCTGCCCACTCAAGGGAGGTTGGACCAAGTTCCCGGCTGGGAAGAAATGGCCCACGACTGTAAGGCCCTTTCTGCTTGGCCGCTGCGTCAGAGTGGGTGGCCGGGCCCACACGCCGTGCTTCCTCTTCTCACCAACTCCCGTTGAAGGAAGGAGGCCGGGCATGCCTGGGGCACTCACATTGTCATCTTTCGATGGGTGGATCTGCTCGATCAGCCGCTGGACAATCTTCTCCTCATTGAGCCACTTAGGGTGAGAAAGAAAACCGTGCTCTGCTCACTGACCCTGCCTCCAGGCCCCGCCCCTGCCCGGCCCGGCCCCGCCCCTGCCGGAGCTCACATTGACCACTTCCTGCCTCAGCTGGGGCCGCTCCACACAGGTGAGGAGGCGCAACAGCAGGTCCATGATGGCTGAGGTGCCGAGGTGCTGCAGCAGCAGGCCCACAAAGTCGTCCTTCTTCCGCAGGAAGGACACGAGCTGCAGGCACGGCCAGGTCAGACGGCAGGAACTGGGCTATGCCATCTACCCACCCGCCACGGGCCCAGGACAGGACGCACCTGGTCCGGCTTTCGGTTGATGAGGACGCCCATGACCTTGCTGAAGAAGCTGGCCAGCAGTGGGTTGAGGCAGCCGCCGCTCTGCAGGAAGCCGTACAGCCGGTTCAGCAGGGACTCGTCTGCGCCCAGGGCGTCATTGATTTGGGGCACGTCCGAGGTCAGGATCTCACAGGCCACACTGGGGTACCTGGGGGGGTGGCGGGTTTGGCTGTCACATCCAGACAGGGAAGCAGATAAGGGGGAGAGCCAGCTGGGCCATCCTCACCTCCCCCACAGCACGGTCCACCCTCCTGACCCCCCACCAACCTGTCACCTCCTGAACATCCACCTGCAGGTCCCATGGCCCTGCCCCAGCCCAGGTCACCATCAGAGCTTCCCCTCCACAGTCTGTCCAGGTGACCTCTCTAAAACCCACCCTCACCCTCACCCCCTTCTCCAGACACTGGCCCACCCAAGGCCCCTGGTGACAACCTGCTTGAGGTGCCTTGTGAACTGTGGGGGCCTCGAATGCCTCCTCCCCTGGGCTCCTTGGAGCGGGGCAGGGAACCCAGGGGCCCGGAGGGCACAGGTGTCAGAACGGAGGTCATACTCAGGTGTCATACCCAGGGCCCCAAGTACACAGCATTTCCCTGCTTCTGTGAGCCAGAGCCCCCCAGACATGTGCAAGGGAGGGGGATAGAGGGAGGGAGGGAGGGAAGTCAGAGAAAAGAAGGGGAAAATGCATGTGGGAGCAGGTATATGACAAAGAGACATCAGGAGGCAGAGGACTCTGCTGACCTGCCAAAGTCCCTGAAAACTCACTGAACCCCTACAATGGGCAAGCTGAGGGCAGCCCTCACTCGTGCACCGCCTGGCTCAGGCCTCCACGCGAGGGGGGCTGGGCAGAGAGCAACACCAGGGAACAGGGAGGACAAACCTGGCCCAGTATGGACCATGCAGGGCCTGAGAAGGGCAGCGGGGACCAGGGCAGACAAAAGTCCCCAGTTATGGAGACAATTCCAATTCTGACCCCAACAGGGCCCTGCCAGCCTGGCCCGTCATACGCAGGGCCCCAAGTACCCAGGCAGTGACTTGGGGTGGGTGGAAGAGAAGGGCAGAGGAGTGTGCAGAAGGGGCAGCGGCCACCAAGTCTGTGCCCACTCTGCTCACAGCCGTGCCCAGTGCTCTGGTACCATGCCGGGCACAGGCAGATCTTACCCAGCTCATGCTCCAAAAAAGGGAAACTTACAAGAGAATTACAGGTAAAAAATGCTGTCTGGAGTGGGAGGGCTTGCGTTAAGCCACACCGGGCCTGCAGGCCCTCCTGCTGCCACCCTGGCTGACAGGGCTGACCTCTGTCGCCACGGGGCACAGGCAGTGTTCTCTCACAACTGCATGTGATTCTGCACTCGTCTCCACAAAAACCCAACTGAGAAAAACAGCAGGAGAAAGACTCTGGGGGGGGGGTTGGGGGGGGGCCACGAAACAAGACTGGCCAGGCGCTGCGCCCCGAGGGCCCCCCTCCCCCCCTCCACGGGAGGCTGTCTGCAAAGCCCATCACAAAAATGCTTTCCAAGAGTTCTGCCGTGAGTGCTTTGGAGCCCAAGCTGCAGGTCTGCACCGGGCCTGGCCTCATCCCCGTTTCCTTGCTCCGACCGACCGGGAGCCCGAGACAGGACGGGCGGGCTCACTTGTAGCGCAGCCGCTCCTCTCCACTGGCCGGTGGCTCCTGGGTGACCCAGGCCACCATGGCCTGCAGGTGCGGTGGCTGCAGCAGGAAGTCCAGCAGCTTGCGATTGACCACCTTGCACTCCTGCAGGACGTCCTCCTCATCCAGCAGCTCGGGCAGGCTCAGGTCCTCCCGCTCCAGCAGTGTGTCCAGGTGTGAGCTTGTGTGCAGGTCAAACTTCCAAAACATGGCGCCCTGCGGGCAGGGGCTGTCACCACAGAGGCCCCCAGCCAACCCTGCAGGTACCAGATCTGGTGTCTCCCCAAGCTGCCTCTGGTGCAGACCCCTGAGGTCCAGGGGTTACCTTCACACCTGAGGCCCACTGTCCTGCCCAACCCTCGGCCCCCAAGCTCAGAAAAGGGCCCTGGATATAGACTGTGCACAGGGTCTGTGCAGAGAGTCCTGACGCTGTGCGCAGAGCCACCATGGCCCGGCCCCATGAGGGCTGCGTCCACTGTCCCCACATCTGGGCAGGGGAGTCCCCAGGGTGGGGCCAGAGCTGTGCTCATCCTGGAACCCCTGCCATGAGACTGCCTTCATTCTATCTGCGGAACAAATTCAAGTGCCCCGAGACGGCCAGCACACGGCTACCATCCAGCCCGGCAAACCACCACGTGGTGCAGGGCGTGGGGTGGTGGCAGGCAGAGGGAAGTCTGTGCCGTTGCCTAGATGCCACACACACACACACACAAACACACCCAACCCCCTCCCACCCACAGCCCAGGACAGGAAAGAGGGACATGGTGGGGGGGTGTATTCCCAGAACAGCCATGCTGGGCCCAAAGGAGGCAGGGCAGATGGCTCAGCAGGGAGGACAGGCCAGCTCCTGCCACCTGGAGGATGGTGCCCTGGCTCGGACCCTGCATGCCCGGCTGTGGCCTGCCCACCTGCACAGGTACTGACTGGCATCAGGAGCACCTCCTGTGGAGCACTCACTAGGTGCCGGGTGGGCCCAAGCCCCTGCTGCACTGGAACTCAACCGCCCCTACAGGCTCCTCAGTCCAGACCCCGGCTGCAGACCCACCCTGAGCTCGCAGCCAGGCTCCCCAGGCTGCCGTCCTCCCTCCGAGAGTCCACCATGCACTGAGCACTGTCCCCACGGCCCTGGCTGAGAGGCTGTTGTCACCCTATCGCACAGCAGGCAACCCACGCCCAGGTAAGCTGGGGGCTCCGCAGCACAGCACAAGCACTGACGGAAGTTCAAACCTATCACCTGCTTCGTGGAGACCACCTGAGGCAGAGACGCCCCTCTTGGGCACCTCCAGACCCGCAGATGCCAGTCCCTCTTCCACGATGCCCTCCGAGTCTTCTCCGCCCCACGCCACTCCAGCCATGGACAGCATGCCAGCCATGGACAAAGGAACCCCCTCCCAACGACACTGACTCAGGAAGCAGCCGGGGTGGAGCCCGGGCGGAGCCAGTGGGCGCAGGTGACCAGCCTTCTAAGCCACAGTCGATTCAGGACACGGTGCAGCTGCACCCAGCCCTCCGCTCCAGCCTCCACAGGAGCCTTGGTCACACCGGCCATCCGGTGGCCTCCTGGCTGTGACCGGGGACAAATGGCTCTAAATCACAACAACCCTGGGGATGCACTTCTGTGCTAAGCCCCAGCTGACCACGCCTGAAGGTGCAGTGGGGACCGGCCCCATGTGCAGGGCAGCCAGGACGGCACCTCCCAGGGTCCTAGCCTGCCGGACACGAACATGGACTTGCCCGAGCCACTCACCGCCCCACCCCCCCGCCACTTCTCTGAACCACAAATTTGAGCGTCTCGTGTTGGTTCCCAGCCCAAAGCCCCCTGATGGCCTCTCTAGTGTCCACGTTCAAAGCACCAAGGACCACTGGCCACTCCTGCCCACCACTTCTGGGACATGGGCCCAGCCTGCGCAGCACCTCTGCTCGCTGCCACCGTAAGACGTGCTTTCGCTGCCCGGGCCCCGACGGCACGGCCAACCGCACAGCGCCTTCCTCGCCAGGCCGCTCTTGGCGCCCGGGCACAGGACCTGGCACAGAACCTGAGCCGGATGGACCTGGGACCAGAAGCATCTCAAGGGGCAGCCACCACCTGGGGTCATGAGAAACAAGGACCTCGACATAAGAATACCACCTGCTTCTACATCGGAGACTTTTGAGGGGCAATGAGGGGACCAGAGAGGCCAAAAGGCCACCCAAGTGGAGTGAGCCAGGGACCACACGCCCTGACTCCATCCACAGACAGCAGATCAGTGGTTCTCAGGAGCTGGGGGAGATGGAGATGTGCTAATAGGCGCTGGTTTCCTTGTGGGGAAAGGATGTTCGGGAAAAGCCCCCCCAGAAGTTCTGAAATCAATCACACCACTTTACTGTCAGTTACCCCTCCGCCGAAAGACCCCCTGTGGTGATGACTGCACAGCTCTGTGACTGTCCCAGAAGCCGCTGAATCGTGCACTATAACTGGTGAATCATATGGTGTGTGAATTACATCTCAACAAAAACTGTCACCAAAACAAACAGAACCAGAGCTGCCGAGCCCTGTGCGGGGCCAGGCCCAGCCTCACTCCACGGCCCAGTCACCCGGAGCTGACAGGCGCCAGCTGCCCGCAGAGCTGGGATGCATGAGGGTTCCACCCTGGGTTCCCCTTCCCACCACACCGGCACAGTCCTTAAGCTAGGTAGCCCCCCCTGTGTGGGAGGCAGGGCAGGGCAGGGCTCAGCCAACCCTGCAGAGAACCTGTGCCTCCACAAGGGGTCCCTTGTACCATGTCACCAAGATGACATGGTGGAGCACTGTTTTTACTCCCATTTGATAGATGCAGGGACACAGGCCTGCAGGGAGGAGCCCTGGCTGCCAAGAGGCAGACCCCAGATCCCAGACCTGCATCCCTGCTGTCCTGGCTAAAGGCCCACACACTTCCAAGGCACATGGTTAGAAGGGGCAGGCTATGCTTCCCCAAGCTCCCACCTGCTGTGGACAGCACGTCAGACTTCCCTCCCAAAGCTGCTTTCCAGAGATTTACAGTGGGGTGGGGGTGGCTGCACAAGATGGGGGTGGAGCCCTGGCCAGTTTGGCTCAGTGGTTGGAGCGTCGGCCTGCAGACCAGAGAGTCCCGGGTTCGGTTCCCACTAGGGGCACGTACCAAAAAAAAGATGGGGGTGGAGGGGGAGCTGGGCTCTGGATCCAGAGACCTCATGATCCCCGTGGCCCCTTAAACTCTCAGAACCTCAGACTGCCTCTCTGAAGATCAGGAGGCTGGCTGCAAGGACCAGATGCACCGCGTGGTGGTCAGAGCCCTACAAACATCACTTCTCAGCTTCGCGAGACCGAGGACACGGACCACGAACTGGGAAAAAGCACACACCAAAAAAGAGGAAAAGGGAAAGTAACATCCCCGCCACAAACTCTCAATGCACTCCAGCCCCACGTCCGGCAGGTCAATCCCTTCTTCTTGCTTAATGGAACTTGCCGGAAGCCCTGGGAACCAGACGGGAGGGCTGGTTCTCCTTCTCACACTCTAACGGGTGCGCCCGGGCCAGCACCTGGCATCCGGGAGCCTCGTTTCCGGTCAGTGAAGTGGGGGCACTGCCGGCCAGGAAGGGCCATGCTGTGGAGACAGCTGGGTCAGGCAGGTGACAGGCAAGAGCTCTGGCAGGTGCTGGCCCCTTCCTGTGTGTCCCTGAGGCCAGGACACTTGTAGTGGGAGGGAAGGAGACCACCACACCCCTGGGTGGCGGTGCTCAGAACAAAAAAGCAACAAGCCCGGAGAAAGACTGTGAGAAAGACTGTGCCTCGTCTGCCTGAGTGACTCAAGTCATTCAAAGACTCTGTCGGGCACCACACTCCCCGCTGCCCCCACCCTTTCCAACTTGCAGCAAACTTCAAGAAAGCGGAAGTGACTACCACTGGTTTTTAGCAACCGTTTGAAAACCAAGACTGACTGCAAGCGGAAGAAGGGGAAACTGTAAACGAGAAAGGAAGCCATTAAACACAAGAGCACCTCTCCCTCCGCAAGCTCTGCACCATCACCTAGGGTCTCCCACTGCGCGCGGCTCTGAGGCTCCTGTCCATCCGTCCGTCACACAGGGCCTGCCTGCAGCTCCCACAGAGCCGTCCCTGCTGCTGCCACCACTGCTGCCACCATCTCCACACAGCTCCGCCTGCTGGGAGCCTGCAGGCAGATCCTTTACCTGACACCCCTTCCCCACCTGCCCTGGCCCCAAAGCACCGGGAAGTGGAGGTCAAGGGCGCAGAGGCCTCTGGGAGGGCCTCCAGGGCGGCCACCTAAGCGGCCCTGAGGCTTAACAGAGGCCGTGTAGGGAGAGGCCATCAGCGCCCTACTGGCCACTGCCACCCTCAGCCATCCCAGGCCACTGGCTACTCTAGTGAGACAGGCCAGGCGAGCCCCAGAAGGGGAGAACCCACTGCTGGCCGGCCAGGTCCCAGCCCTCTAACTCCCACAACCCACTGCCACCCTCAGCCCAATCTGGAAAGGGGATGAGGGACTTCTGATTCCAAAGACAGGAAGAAGTAATGGCAGGACCCCGCATGTGTGCTGCCACACAACCAAAGACAGACCCAGCAGGGCCGGTGGTGGGACACCCATGTAGAAGAGGAGGCCAGAAAGGGACCTGGCCAAAGCCACACGGGAGGGCGGCCTGGGGCCTTCCTGTGGCTTGGGAAAGCCTGGGGGGTCCCCAGTGAGGCGCCTCACTCTCTGATCCCAGAGAAGACTCTCCTAAGGGAGGCGGCTATGCTGGTCCCCCCCCCCCCCCGAGAACAGAGTAATTAGGAAACAGCAGAGACGGGGGACACCAGGCCAAGGACTGAGGAGAAGCCCAAAAACACATTCAGTACAATCTCTGAAATGGGTCACAAGTTCACAGGAAAAAAGAAAAAGCACAACAAATAGATTTTGAAGCAGCCCTTGGAGAACAGAGCAGAGTGAGTGTTACAAGGTGATCCAGTCAGAGGGGCCTGAGCTCCAGTCCTGCTGTCCAGACGCAAACCTCAGTGGCCTCAGACCAGGGACCAACCCCCGGGAGCCTCAGCTCCGCACCTGTGACACCTCGTGGTTGACCGCACTTCCCAGGGGAAGTTCCATAAAGCCGGGGTGGTCAAAGGGAAAGCCATGGCTTGGCCATGAGAGGAAGGCGTGTCCCCACCCCAGTGTTGAGCCTGCCCACTGAGGTGCCGGGGAGCCCATGGGGAGCCCATGGGAGCCCACGGCCGCCAGGAAGGCTCCTCAGTCTCACCGACACTCCTAGGCCTCTCTCACCTCATCTCTGCCTGCCACCCGCATGGTGCTCAACACTCCTGCCACACCTGACTGCTCCTTTGCGCCCTCACGCCTCTGCCTGGCTCAGCTGCTCCCTCTGCTTCCCTCCGGCTCTTCAAGCCTCACTGGCTCCTCCTGGGTCCTTCAGGCTTCAGCGCAGACACCACTTCCTCCAAGAAGCCTCCCCTGACTGCCTTAGGGCCTGTTCCACACTTCCACGGCTTCCGTGGTCACCTTGTGACAGCGTCTGAGGGTTCTGTGACAGCATCTGCCTGTTGGGTCACCTGCCTCCCCTGCCAGGTGCCCATTTCCCAGGACCCCGCGTAAGACCAGGCCCACAGCTGGAGGGTCTTGTGGAATGAATGAAAACTGAAGGTCACTTGGCCATAGATCCTGAAGAAAAGTTGTTGGGGCCGAGGGGTAGGACAAGCATTGCCCTCTAATGGAAAGAAGCAGTCGATGGCCCAACAGAAAGTACCAAAAACAAGAACGTAAATCAAAATACACAACACACAGCCGCTTTGGGGTAGCAACGGAGAGGTGAGCCAAAACCACACCACACCCGAGCAAGAGAGCAGGGTGCAGTACTTCTAGCGCCCTGCATTCTGCTCTGGGCTCCTACAGGGTGGCGGGTCCCCAGCAGCAGCCTGAGAAAGGAGCCCCAAGGTCCGCGTCACTTTACCTCCGTGGACGTTGCTTTACAACTCTCAACCCCAAACGGCACCTGACAACCTAACTTTCCTTGCAGAAACACCTTGCTTTTCAGACTGGTAACATCTGCGCCCTCAGCATGGAGGTCCGGGTATGTCAGAACGCAGCAAGAGCGCTGGCCAGTGTGGCTCTGTGGTTAGAGGGTCGGCCAACACACACGGAAGGGCCGCAGGTTTGTTGCCCAGTCAAGGGTATGTCCCTGGGTTTGCAGGTTCAATCCCCGGCCCAGATTGGGCCGCGTGCGGGAGGCAACCAATCGATGTCTCTCACATGGTTTCTCCGCCTCCCCTTTCTCCCTTCCACTCTCTCCAAAAATCAGTGTAAATATCCTCAGGTGAGGATTAACCAAAAAAGAAAGAGCAGCCAAAATGACCCCACCAGGTCACTGCAGGGCAGGGACGAGCAGCCCCCGGGTATTCCGGCCACTTCCTTCCAACACGGCTGCACTCCAGGTGCACAGGCCGCTCCTGGGTCCCTGCCTGCACATGTTTGCACCTGCTGTTCCTTCTACAGGGCCGGCCCTTCTTCCCAGCACCATCCGTCAACTCCTACTCACCCTTCCTAGACAGAAAACCCCACCCGCCGAGCCAGTCTCCCCGGGGCCGGCTCGGGCCTCCCGCGGCGCTCTGCGCGACCTCTATCCCGCGGTTCCGGGGACCGTCCGGCTCTGCTGTGTCTCCGGGCTGGTTCCCCTCCCTGGTGCCCGGCACCAGGCTCAGCAGGCCCCATCTCCAAGAAGGGGAAGTACCTCCAAAAGAGCCCCGGCCTGGGGAGCCCAGTCAGGGTGAAGGGGCGCCCCCCTCCCTCCTGGTCTTCCCGAGCCCCGGGGTCAGACGTCTCGGGGTCCATGGCAGGGGGCAGGGACAGAGGGAGGGTGGGGTGTCCATGGGAAGGGTCTGAGGAGAGATGAGGGTGTTCGGGGGTGCAGAGGAGTGAGTGGGGCAGAGTCCCAGGGGGCAGGGGGAAGTGGGGGGACAGGGGGAGAAGAGACTGGGGGAAGGTGGGCTGGGGGAGGGGAAGAGACTTAAGGGACTTGGAGGACAGAAGAAAAGAGTCTAAGGGACTTGGGGGATTCAGGGTAGGAGACTGGGGGGGCTGACAAAAAAAGTCAAGAGACTTGGGGGGGCTGAGAAAAACAGTCTAAGGGACTTGAGGGGTTGAGGGGCCGAGGCTAAGTGACCCAGGGGCTGAGGGACAAGACGGGGGGCCCAGGAGGAGGGAAGGGTCCGAGGAGGAGGGCTGAGAAGACTCGAGGGAACCAGGCGGGGCTCCCGGGGCAGGGGTGCGGGACTCGGGGAGCCCGGCTTGCCGCTCACCTGCGCGGGGGGGCGGCGGCTCCTCGCACTCGGGGCTCATCGGGGCGCCCCCCCCGCCCCGCCGCTGGCGGCTCCGGCCCGGTTCAGGGGCCCGGTACGTGGGGGCGGGGGGCGGCGGGGTCTCGCGCACGCGCTCTCGGGCCTACGGAGGGCCCTGGCGCAGCGAGCCGCAGAGTTCGGGGTCCGCGCCGGCTCGGTGCGGGCGGGGCCGCCCGGGGGCCGCGGGAGGTCAGCGGGGTCGCGCGGTCCGCCCGCGCAGGCCCTCGGCGGGGAGGTCGCCCTGGTCGGCCCGGGTAGCGTCCCGCGGCAAAGCCGAGGCGGGCGGGAAGGCGTCCCCCTCACAGTCCGAGCAGGCCGCAGTGCTGAGCGGCGGCCGACGGATCCGAGGCCCACTTTCTTCACCACCCGGTCCCCACACCGGCAGCGTCTCCCGGTTTTGCAGTCGGCGCCAGGCCCTCCGACGCCCGGCTCCGTCCGCCACTATCCCACAATCCCCCCAGCGCAGGGGCACGCCGGAGACCCCGCCCTCCCGCGGTCGTCTCGGTGCACGGAGGCCGCGCGCCCTGGTCCGGCAATACGCGTGCGCGCGCGCGCGTGTGGCCCGGCCTCTCCCGACCACGCCCACCCAGACCACCTCCGTCTCAGTGCGCTTGCGCCGGTTGGTGCCAACGGTCTCTCCCCACATAAACCCTGGCAACCCAATGCGCAGGCGCTGCTGCACACCCGGTATTCTCTGCGACTCAGTTCCAAAACCCAGAGGAAATCCTGCTCCAGGGTTTGTTTCTCTTCCCCCTCGCTTGGAGGGGAAACCGTTCGCTATTCTCTCTCCTCCATTCGGGTTACTTTAAAAAAAAATTTTATTGCTTTTTAGAGAGAGAAGAAGGGAGAAGTAGAAACATTGACGACAGAGACTATCCATGGGCCGCCTCCTGCATGCCCCCCGCTAGGGATTTGGCCCGCAACCTGGGCATGTGCCCTGCCCAGGAATCGAACGGGCGATGCTCAGCCACTGAGCTGCAGCCGAGCTCAGGTTACTTTCTTTGGCTCCAGGGTCCAGCTCCTGGGACATCCTTGCCAGGCTTGTCTGCAACCAGGGCCAGGAGCCTTTGTCCCGCCTGGTTCTTTCTCAACACCTCTCGGGGCTCAAGGCTGACTTCAGTCCCACCACTGGGCACTTGCCCAGGCTGTGTCCTTACTGCTGCCAGTCCCTGCACAAAGAATCCTCTAAGAACATCCATGAAAAGGGTTCTCCCAGGCCTTGTATCCATACTCAGCCAGGTCCCATCTAGCTCCAATCCTCAGTTTCAACTTTTACAGCCATCCCTTGGCCCGTGTTACAGGCCTACCACTGTGATAGTAAGACAAGTACATTTGTGCAAAGAGTCAAGATTTATTTATCTTTTTTTTTTAATCCTTACCCGAGGACATTTTTCGATATTTTGTTCAGATAGAGTGGGAGGGGGAGAGAGAGAGAGAGAGAAACATCGATGTGAAAGGGACACATCGAGTGGCTGCCACCCGCACGACCAACCAGGGCCGGAGACAAACTGGAACCAAGGTACGTGCCCTTAGCGGGAACCGAACCCGGGTCTCTCCAGACCGCAAGCCAATGCTCTAACCGCTGAGCCAAACCGGCCCGGGCAAGTTTTATGTATCTTTTAACCTGCAGTTACCTTTTTCATTTCAGGGACATTTTGTTGAATCACGTTTAAGTCTACTTTCCTGTTTTATCTGTTAGCTTCTCCTTGCTTTCATCTTTATCATTCCCTCTTGCATTCACCAATTACCATGTATTGGTAATTTGATTTTCAGCCATGTCTCCTCTGATCCTTGCTATTGCCAGTGTGTTTGTTGCATGTGATACGTTTTTGGTCCTTGAATCAGGTGGGGACGGCCGAGTGAGACAACCGCAGCCTCAGTGGCACGTGTCATGTTCACAGCTTGGAGCTACAGGTGTGAAGGTTGGCAAGCAGAGGTCTGTGCTTGCCCAGTGCTGTCTGTGACCAGGTGGGCAAGGGTGTCCGACGCTGGGTGAAACAACAGCAAGACTATAGCCACTTTCCTGACTGGCTTTTTTTTGTTCAGACACAGGAGGAGGGGGAGAGAGAAACATCGATGTGAAAGGAACACATCAGGTGGCCACCACCCGTGCGACCCAACCAGGGCGGGGGACAAACTGCAACCGAGGTACGTGACCTTAGTGGAAACCGAACCCGGGTCTCTCTGGTCCGTGGGCCAAAGCTCCAACCGCTGAGCCAAACCGGCCAGGGCTCTGGCTGGCTTTAATAGTAGTAAGGGTCAGCCCTGGCCAGTTTGGCTCAGCGATTAAAGCGTTGGCCTACAGTCCAGAGAGACCCGGGTTCGGTTCCTGCTAAGGGCGCCTACCTCGGTTGCAGTTTGTCCCTGGCCCTGGTTGGTTGTGGGGGTGACAGCCACTCGATGTGTCCCTTTCACATCGATGTTTCTCTTTCTCTCTCTCTCTCACTCTCTCTCTCTCTCTCTCTCTCTTCCTCCCTCCCTCCCTCTCTCCCCCTCCCACTCTACCTCAACAAAGAGTGGAAAAATGTCCTCAGGTGAGGATAACAAACAAAAAAAATAGTAGTAAGGATCAGCCCAGACAGTGTGGCTCAGTGCACTGAGCATTGTCCCATGGACTGAGAAGTCCCAGTTCAATTCCCAGTAAGGGCACATGGCAGGGTTTCAGGCTCGATCCCCAGTACGGGGTGTGCAGGAGGCAGACAACTGATGTTATTTCTCTCTCCCTTCCTCTCCAAAATCAATAAAAGCATTTTTAAAAATAGTAATGAAGGTGGCATCTGACCTTCAATCTTGGAGCCTGTAACTACCTTTCCATTTATCTTGACACTGGGAAGAGAAGTGAAAATGATGGGTTCCTCCCGGATCCCAGGAGTACAAGTACATTCCACAGGGGAGGACAGAGTCCGGCATCAAACAGCTGGGAAATGAGCATACAGGGCAGAGGATTCAGAATTCGCTCAGGTCTGCATCCTGGGTGTGTGAACTTGGTCATGGATTAACCACCCTGGGCTCAGCTTCCTCGTCTGAAAGAATGACAATGGTCAGGACTCGGCTACAAATGGAGAAATCTCCTTCACCTAATCTGAAAGGTGATTTATTAGAGGTGAGGCAGTCCCTCTCCCCACACCCCCCAAATCTGAGAAGGCTGAAGAGGAGGCTCGGTGCTTTGCAGTTGGGAACGAACCCCATGCCCAACGGGCCTGTCCCAGGCACACAGACAATCTGTGCAGCACTGCCAGCTGTTGGCACACCTGCTCCCACCTGTCAGCTCCCCAGCAGGCCGGCCAGTGGGCTGTCATTGGTGGGGCTGCAGTCACATGACACACCACTGCCCAGCATGCTGGGAAAGGAGAGGGCTTTGGCCTTACCACTGAAAAATCTAATGTGGAGGATTCCCCAAATGGAGAAGGAATCAGAGAGGCTGGGAAAATGATAGGAGACAATGGCTCTGGGTTTTGAGGGCAGCCCTTTTATTATTCGCAGGCTCTGGCCACCACTGGCCCCTCCAGTGTCTCCCAAGGTCCCCTAAGATCAAGCCCCTCCCCCCCTCCCCAGGCACCCCCCAGAGGAGGTGACAAAGGCTGAAGCAAAGCAGAAACACCTTTATTGGAAGACAGTGTGGACACACAAGGGGGAATGGAGCGAGAGCGTGAGGTGGGGTCCAAGGGGCTGGTGCCTTTCTCAGTGCCCCTCCAGGGGGCTGAGCAGAGATGGGCTGGCACGCCCCGGCCTGGCACCAACAAGGCCCTGCTCTCCCTTGGGGGAGGGCCTCATGGCTGGGAGGGAGGCAAGAGGCCTAGGGTTCCCGCAGAGGGGCCAGACGCCGCTGGGCTTCACCGATCCATGCTGTCCTCCGTGGGGCTGGAGAAGCAGGTCTGTAGCAGCTTTTCGCAGAACTCCAGCTCCTCCTGGGTGGGGGCAAGAGCAGGAGCCCTGAGCGAGAGGCCGGCCCCTGCCTCCAGCACACCCTGCCCCAGAGGCAGCAGCTCTTCGCTCCCGACACCTGCCAGCCCCAGGAGCCGCCCAGGGCTCTCAGACCTCCGCTCAGATCCATGATTCCGTTTCTCTTCCCACCCGCGTCTGGACTACTGAACTAGACCAGGGGTCTCCAGCCTCTGGCCACACCCCACTGGTCTGTCCTCTCATGACCCCCTTGGGCTTTCTAACTCCCCACTTAAAACCCCTTCGTGGATACCAACTCCGGAACCCAGGAAAGCAAGCACTGCCGGGCTGGGCCGCATAAACACACGAGGTATCTGCCAGACACACAGGTGCCAGGCAGAAATGAAAGAAAACCAAGTTGGCGGGAAAATTAATTGTGACTCATCACACAGAAATAACATGGTTAATACTTAAACCAACTGCAGAAACCACCACCCACCCAACAGCTAATGGGGCACAGGATATGGATGAGCAGTTAACAAGAAGGGAAAGAGCCCCAGCCGGTTTGGCTCAGCGGTTAGAGCATCAGCCTGCGGTCCAGAGAGAGGCGGGTTCGGTTCCTGCTAAGGGTGCATATCTCTCTTGCAGTTTGTCCCCTGCCCTGGTTGGTCGTGTGGGTGGCAGCCACTCGATGTGTCCCTTTGGCGTCGATGTTTCTCTCTCTCTCTTCCTCTCTCTCTCCTCCCACTCTATCTGAACAAAAAATGGAAAAATGTCCTCGGGTGAGGATATAAAAAAAGGAAAGGAAAGAGATGCCCGACTTCACCCAGGGGAGAAATGCAAACATAAACTGCATTTACCAGTCAGCCTGAGAAAAGGTCCAATGGTTTGAGGCCAGCCGTCCTGGCTAGCATGTCGGGCACCCTTGTGGCTGCACTGTGGGCCAGTTCAGCCTCTAGGGGAACAGCTTGGCGATAGTTAACGAAATGGCCCTTAACCCTGTAACGTCACCTTTATCACCTTTACCTTAACTCGGCCTCTCCCTTCCTAGAAAAGTGTTCTCTACAGTCACTTTTAGCAGTGTTGTTAGTACCCAGAGTGGAAATAACCTGCATGTCCCTCAAGGGCAGTGACACAAGAGGCTCCCCCTACCCTGCAGAGACAAGGGAGGGAAGAGGAAAGAGGGGGCACCTGGCCCTGGGTGGTCTTGCTCAGCGGTTAGAGTTTCAGCCCAAGGACCAAACGGTCATGGGTTCGATCACCAATTAAGAGCCATCCCTGGGCACGGGGGGGGGGGGGGGGGGGCGGAGGGGGCAACCAATTGATGTGTTTCTCTCACATCAATGTTTCTCTCTTCCCCCTTCCATTCTATCTAAAAATTAATGGAAAAATATCCTCGAGTGAGGATTAACAAAAATATTTTGTCAATCTAATATTTAATTACTAAATATCTGAATATGATGTAAATAATCTGGATGATGGCTCAATGACTTCGTTAACCCTTTAAGCAACTCAGAGTTCCTCCTTCCTGCCGACAGCACCAGGCACGTGGGAGGCAGCAGTAATGTCTGCTGAGTGGGTGCTGCAAAAGACAGGCATGAACCCCAAACACAGCATGGCGCAGACCACAGCGGCCGGCCGAGGGCAGGGCTGGGGCAGGGCCCACCTGCTGAGCCCGGGCAGCCCAGCCAGGCCCAGCAGCCTACCTGGTACTCCTCATGCTGCCGCAGCAGCTGGCAGCGGTGTCGCAGGAGCTCCTCCAGGCCCAGCTCCGGCTGCCGGCACTCCCGCACGCCCTGGGGGAAGTCTGTCACCAGGCTGCAGGGACAGGAGAGCAGTGCTTGGGGCCTCCCTCTGCACAGGCCCACCCCCAAGCGTTACCACAGGAGCCAGGGAAGGACAGTTCCCCACATGGGCCTCAGTTGCCCCATCTGCATGGATCTCATGCTGCCCCCACCCCGTCCCAGGGACTTGTACAAAGCAGGGCACTTAGCACAGTGCCTGGCCTGGGGTCAACTGCACAGGCGGGAGCTGCTACCCACTCACTCAGCGGCTCCGCCCTGTCATTTTCCAGACACTAATGCACTTGTACTGTGTGCAGCGGGGGGTGAAAGCCTCTCCCCTCCTCCCGGGTCCCAGGAGAGAGGAGGCCAGGGCCTAGTGGTGCCATTCCAGGAGGTGGGGCACCTGCCCCAGAACCTGTTCTCTCGGGGCCCCAGCGCACCTGCACAGGGCTCCAAGCACGTGCTCATGGAAGGGGCTGTGTTCTGTCCGGACGAGGGCCACTAGCTGCTGGACCATCCCCATGGAGCACAGGGTCCCTGAGGGAAGGGACTCAGGGGTCAGAGGGACAGTCCCCACCCCTCCTCTGTGCACTCCCTTCCCCACCACCCATCCTCCAGGGCCACCCCAGGCCCCTGCTCCAGCTGCCTACCTTTGTGTTCCGGGTGGCCCACCAACAGGTTCTGCAGCAGGAATGCCGACTTGACCTTGAGCTTTTGCACCTGCTGCTGCATGGCCCGCATCAACACAGAGAAACCATCCAGCCGGAGGAACTGCAGCAACCCAGCCTCCTGCTCCCGGACCAGGCCTGGGGTGGGGAGAGAGGAAGGGCTTCAAGGTCACGGTCACCATCACCACGATCGTCATCACCATCACCATCATAACCATCATCACCACCATCACCACCCACCCCATGATTATCACCATCACCACCACCATCATCAATTTTTATGGGCCTGCACTTCTCAAGTATTATCTTCTTATAAGTGTATTTTTATTGAGATACAATTAATGCAAACTATATTTAAAGAAAACTCTGCACCAACTGTCACCCACCTGGCTCTGGCTCTTGGTATCTCTGGGGCACCAAGTCCCTCTGTCTGCCCTTTATGGCCAAGCTGCCCCGGGTCTGCCTGTCCATCTGTCTCCAGTTTTGGATGTGACTTTCCAAATGCCTCTCCCTCCAAGGCTCCTTCCCTCATCCTTGCCAGAATTCCTTCCTCCCTCCTGGAATCTCTCTATCCCAACCTCCCCCATTCTTCTCCGGGGTGACATAATAAATATATATTTGGTCTCTGTCCCCCACTCCTGACACCAAGTTCCTAAATCCCTTGGAATTTCCTCATAATAGAAGCATGTTTTCTTCTTTTTAAAATTTTATTTTATTTTTACTGACTTTAGACAGAGGGAGGGAGAGAGTGAGAGAAACATTGATGTAAGAGAGATACATCGATTAGTTGCCTCCCATATGTGCCCCAGCTGGGATCGAACCACAACCTAGGTATGGGCACTGACCGGGGATCGAACCCATGACCCCTGGTGCACAGGAAGATGCTCCAACCAACTAAGCTATAGTAGCCAGGGCAAGCATCTTTTCTTCTCTGGATGGGCTCCTGCATGAGGACTAGTCACCAGAAAGGCCAATCCATAATTAGAAACTAAAAATTTTCAGCCCCGACCCCCATGCACGGGCAAAAGGAGACTGGATGGAAATTGAATTAATGATTCACTTGCCTACATGATGAAGCCTCCACAAAACCCCTAAATATGGGGGTCAGAGAGCTTCTGGGTTGGTGAACACATCCATGTACCAGGAGGCTGACGCACCCCAATTCCACAAGGATAGAAACTCAAGGCTGTTCTAGACCCTGTCCAGGGTACCTATTCATCTCTGTTCTTCACCACATCCTTCATCACATAATAAACCACTAAACATAAGTCACTGTTTCCGGAGTTCTGTGAGCCTTTTCAGCAGGTCCTGGACGCCGAGGAGGGTCATGGGCCTCTGAGGCCGGGCAGTCTCGTGGCACTGAGGCCTCAGCCTGAGAGGTCTGCACCCACTCGGATACTCAGTGCCAGGACGCAGTTACCGGACACCCAGCTGGTGTCCAGACTGGAGAGCTGACTGCTGTGGAAACCCCCCCACGGCGGGGTCCAGTGTGGTGAGCAGAGACGGGTTTCCTCACACTTCCACAGACAGATGCAAGGCTACCTCACAACCCAGCTACCCTACCCCTAGGTGCAGACACACGAGAAGTCAAAGCGAATGTCCACACGAAACCCTGTCCACCCAGGCTCACAGCAGTGTCACTCACAGCAGCCGAAGGGTAGAAACCACCCAGTGTCCAGCTGGTGAACGGACAGACAGAATGAGGTCCATCCACAAACGGAGTAATTATTCAACCACAAAAAATCAAGCACTGCCCTGGCCAGTTTGGCTCAGTGGTAGAGCGTCGGCCTGCAGACCAATGAGTCACGGGTTCGATTCCGGTCAAGGGCACGTACCTCGGTTGTGGTTCGTCCCCAGCCCTCGTTGAGGTTGTGCGGGAGACAACCAGTCAATGTGTCCCTTTCACATCAATGTTTCTCTCTCTCTCCCTCTCTTCTCCTCCTATTCTATCTGAAGATAAATAGAAAAATATCCTAGGGTGAGGATTAAAAACATAAAAATAAAAATCAAGCACTGAGGCATGCTATCAGCGTGGACGAAGCTTGGGAAAGAGATGCTGAGTGAAAGAAGCAGTCGCACAGTCCACGTACTGCAGGACTCCATTTACGTGAGATGTCCAGAGCCGTCCAATCCAGGCAAGAAGCAGATCGGTGGTTGCCAGGGGCTGTGGGTGGGGGTGGGGAGCATAGAGGGGGACTGCTAATAGGCACAGGGTTTCTTTTTTGGGGTGATGACATTAGGTCGTGGTGATGGCTGCGTAACCTTATAAATATACTGAAAGTACTAAATCGTACATGTAAAAAGGATAAATTGCCCTGGCTGGTGTGCTAAGTGGTTAGAGTATCGCCCCATGCACCGAAGGGTTTCAGGTTTGATTCCCAGTCATAGGCCCTTAACCTGGGTTGCAGGTTCGACCCCTGGCCCAGGTCCGGGCATATATGGGAGGCAACCAAGCGATGTGTCTCTCTCGTCAATGTTTCTCTCTCTCTCTCCCTCTCCCTCCTTTTCACTCTCTCTAAAAACTAAAACCAATGGAAAAAAATATCCTCAGGTGAGGATTAACCAAAAAGAAAAAGGATAAATTGTATGGCCCATGAATTATGTCTCAATAAAGCTGTTAACACGGGGACCCCCAGCATGGCACACGCGAGAAGCGGGCCCAGTACATGGCGAACATGGCTTTGGCTCGAACCCCAGCTCCGCACGTCCTGGCGGGGTGCCCTGGGCTGTCACTCAGGCTCCCTGACCTGGCCCCTCCTGTCTGTGGATTCAGTCTGCACCTAAGAGGGTGTGTGTGAGGGCTGAACAAGTTAACCCTGCACCTGGCCTGGCACAGAGCAAGCGCCCGCAGATGTTGCCATCACCCCATCCCCGACCTGGCACCCATGCCTCAGGAGGCAGCATGGGTGAGACCTCCTGCTACCTCTAATGGGAGGGGGCCCAGGGGCCACTCACCAACCTGGCCTCCCAAGACCAGGAATGTCAACCGGGCCAAGGTGAGAACCCTGACGGCACAAGTCACTGAGGCTGAGCGACAGTCCTGTGTCATCAGGGTCTGGCTCTCTGACCAGCAGAGGGTTGGCGAGCTCACCACCCTGTTCCCAGTACCTAGCACAGAGTCCTGACAGGTACTGGGGGGGTGATGAACAATGAGGCTCCTGCCCTCTGGCCCAAACAGATCCCTACAAGGTCCACCTCCATCACAGCTCCAGGCCTTGGGGCCCCGGGCCCTCCCTAGCAGGTCCGGGGTACTCACAGGAGATGGCGAAGAGGGCCTTGACGCGCACCGAGTCACAGGGGTCCCGGTCCAGCAGCCGCAGCAGCTTGCGCAGGGCGCCCAGGCCCAGCACTTGCTCCTGGATGGCCGCCACGTTCTGGCTGCAGGTACCGATGAGCTGCGCCGCCCGCCACCGCAGCCCCGCGGGCCCCGCCTCCAGGTACCGGCCCACCAGCAGGTGCATGCCCGACAGCTGGCAGAAGTCTGTGCCACAGAGAGGAGAGGAAAGAGCCGAAGTTACAAGCTGAGCTGTGCCCCCAAATCCATACGTTGAAGCCCTAACCCCCAGAGCCTCCGAATATATTGTATCCGGAGATGGGGCCTTAAAATTGGCGATGACGGAGACCTGACATCACAGGATTGGCCTCAGTTCAATATGACCGGTGCCCTTCCCAGAAGAGGAAATTAGACACAGATACACCTGAGGGAGACCACGTGAGAACACAGGGAGGGGACAGCCATGTGAAATGTGAAAGCGGATGAGAGCGGCCTCAGAAGCAAGCACCCCTCCGGGCTGTGAGGACCGATATCTGTGGTTTCCATTGCCCCGGCTGTGCCCCTCACCCATTCTACACTGCCCTGCTGGCCTTACTACTATCCCTGAACACGCCAGGCACGTTCCCGCCTCAGGGCCTTTGCACTGGCCATTCCCTCCACCTAGAATGCTTTCTCCAGAACTAATCCCACAACTCAGGTGCTCACTTTGGGTCTCTGATCAAATGTGGCCCCTCAGGGAGGCCTCCTCTCTCTCACTCTAGGAAGTGACAGTGGATTCCCAGCAGACTAGGGCGAGATGGCCAGTTTGCAGGTATATCAGGTAGGGGTGGACTGAACCTGTCACCAGCCTGGCTGTGTAGGGTGAGAGAAGGTGCCATCATTGCTCCTGATGACATGGGGACCAAACAGAGGGGACAGAGAAGTCCCATCTAGGGCTAGAGTCAGAGCCAGACTGAAGGGGGAAAGGCTGGAGGCTGGGAGGCTGGAGAGGAAACCATGACAAAGGACGAGGGCTGAGCCGTAGCGGAACATGTGCTGAGGAAGAGGCAAAACAGAAGGGAGACCAGGAGGCAGAGGGGCAGGACCTGGAGGCTAGGGGCGGGCCGGGGTACCTGCAGCATTGTCCATGTTTTCACACAGGTCAGCCAGCAGCTCCAGGGCCCCCTCGCGCTCCTGCTGGTCGGTGGCCAGCTCAGCCTCACCAGCCGAGGGGGGCGTGGGCTGGGACAGCACTTGGAGGCAGTTCTTCATCTGCTCCACCTCCTCCCGCTGGCCCCGGCAGGCGGCTGACATGGCCTCCTGCAGCCACTGGCGCCTCTGGGAAACAAAGTGGGTGAATTAATCTATAAAGTAATTCATGAGTAATAGTCGTTAATAATAACTGTCAACATCTGAGAGCTGACTGTTCCTTCAATCAACACCTATCTATGGAGCTTCTTTTCTACTTGACAGACTCTTGTCTAGACACTAGATCTAAGGAGAGACGGGCTATGGGGTGGCAGACAGAGAGGAAGCGAGGCTCCTCAGTTTCTGTCCTGAGTCACTAGGGGATGGTGAAGACAGCAGAGAAGCAGGTGTTGGGCAGGGGAAGATTAGAGCTCCTTTGTCTTTTTGTTTGTTTTTTACAGACAGAGAGAAAGGGAGAGGGAGAGAAACATCTATTTGTTGTTCCACTCATTTATATACTCATTGGTTGCTTCTTGTACATGCCCTGATGGGGGATCGAACTTGCAACCTTGGCACATCAGGACAATGCTCTAACCAACTGAGCTACCTGGCCGGGACCTAGAACTCGTTTTTAACATGTTATGTTTGAGGGATATATTAAACACCCAAAGTAAAATACTGAGTGGGCTATCTGAAGTTTAGAGAGAAGATCGAGTGTACACCTGGGTTTCTCAGCCTCAGCCTATTGACACTTGCAGCGGGACAGTTCTGTGGTGGGGGCTGTCCTGTGCACTGTCAGAGGTTGAGCAGCACCCCTGCTCACCACCTCCTAGATGTCAGTCGCAGGGACTCCCATTTGCAACAACCAAGAATGTCTCCACTCTTTGCCAAATATCACCTGGTGGATAAAACCACCACCAGTAGAAAACCATTGGCCTGGAGATACACATTTGTGAGTCGTCAGAGTAAAACCTTAATAGGACATGAGATCAAACAGAAAGTAAGCATAAATAAGAGGAGAGTCCTGCTACCTCCATCATTCAGAGGCTGGAGAACGTGGAAGAACCAATAGAGGCAATCGGGAGGAAGGGCCAGTGAGTAGGATGAAGACCAGGACACTATGTTGCTCTACAAGCCAACTGAAGAAAGAGATCAAGGAGGAGGCAGTAATCAAATGCTGTTATTCCATCAAATATAATGAAAGCTGAGAACTAGCCCCTGGAATTTTTTCTTTTTTTTTTTTTGCCTGTCTATGTGTTAATTGCTCTAGTCACAGTCCTGGATAAATCTGGGCAAGAGGCTCACCTTTCGGTGTCTGTTTCTTATCTCATTGTCCAAAAGGCTCAAAGACATCATGGATATAACTGGGTGAGCACAAGTTTTCCTATACAGACAGCCCTCCGAGATATTGTGGGTTTGGCTCCAGATGATGGCAGTAGCGAGTATCACAATAAAGGGAGTCCTAATCTTTTTGTTGGTGGAGGTTCTTGCCTTCAGTTTGTAAAAAAGGCAACATCCGTGAAGCACAGTAGAACAAGGTATGCCCGAACTGTAATCACCATCACCAACAAAATATCATTATAACAAATATTGCTATTAATCTCCAAAAAATCCTATATAGTATTACTGTTATCCCCATTTCACAGATGTGAAAACTGAGGCACAGAAAAGTTATAACTTGCCCAAGATCACATCCATCTGTAAAGCCTGTGGTCAGACGGAAGCAGTCTGTCCACAGAGCCTGTGCTCTCAATGAGAATGAACTCCAGCTGCCTTCAGGGGCGCTGCCTGTGTGCCCAGCACAGTGTGGAGCCCTACTGGAACTTCAGAACTACCCTAGGAAATACCATTATTATTATCATAATCATCAACTTGCAAAGGAGGAACTTGAGGCTCAAAGAGACTAACTGATATACCCAAGGTCACACCGCTGGATAATGTGGAATTCAGTCTTGTCTGGATCTGGAGAGCCCTCGCTTTTCTTTCTATCTCAAGGCTATTCTGCATCCCAGCATGGGACCCAGGGATCTGTTCCCCTCGGACAGTTGAGATCTGACCTTCATTCAGTCTACAAGAACCCCAACTAGCACAAATAGAGCCCACTGCGCCTTCACACCCGGACTCCCGCCCTCCACCCTGGAAAACTCCAGCTTCTAGCTCCCCAAGCCACACTTCCCAAGATACACAGCTGTCCCCACACCCCTCCCCCAGCTTCTTGCGCCCCACCCTTTACCTCCTCACTCATAGGTTCTGGAGGGGGGTCTGGTTCCTCAGAGCCCGCCGTGATGGCCATCTGCAGCAGGCCTTGGAGGTTGCGCGGGGGCGGGGGATTGCCTGAGCCCCCGGCCGAGGAGCCGCCGCCCTCTGACGAGCAACCCTGGGAGGCTGGGGGCAGCGCCAGGGGGAGGCGGCTGCCCCCCGAGCCTTGGTTTGCCATGGGCTGTTTGTGAAGAAGGGGAGGATGTGTCGGGGATTAGGGGTGGTTGGTCACCGCGGAAGTAGCTCTGGCGTCCTGGCTGGTCCACTCCTGGGGGTCTGCTGAGAAGGTGACGTTTTAGGGGAGCTCGGCACCCCCCCATGACACCGAAGCACTCGGCCCACACCCACCTTAACCACAGCCCCCATGTCTTCCTTCAAAGCAACAGGACCCTTCCCCAAAGCCACAAGCCCCGCCTCCTTCCCTGGCAACAGGCCCCACCCACTCTCCGCAGCAACCTAGCAACCCCCTCCCCTCGGCCCAGTGCAGGCGTCCCCGTCTCTTGGCAACGCCACTTGTCCCGCCTCCAAAGCCACAAGCTTCCCCTTGGGTCGTTATATTAACGAATCTCCTCCCTCCTCTCCGAAGAAGGGAGCCAGAGCGGGGCGGACCTCACCTTCCCGGGCCGCGAGTCGCCGCCTCTACTGAAGGCAGAGTCGCCCGCACCTGACTCTAGTGGGCGCCGCCATCTTGACCGGAAATACGCAGGTCTCATTGGGAAGTTTCCGGCGCACCCACCCAACCTCGTAGCTGAAGCGGAGGCGTTTGTCCTGCCCTTAAGCCCTACCCATTCGGCCGGGTACCGCGCTCGGCCCCGCCCCTCAGTCCGCCCCGCCCCTCGCCTGCCGCTCACTCTAAGCCCCGCCCCTTCATGAGTCCCGTCGCTTCATCCTCCTCATAAGTTCCACCCCTGCCGTGATGGACACCCCGCCCCTCCCAGGTCTAGCCCCGCCTCCAGCGGACCCCGCCCGCACCCATGTTCCCCGCTCCCTTCTGCACTCCGCCCCTCCCTGGCACCTCAGGCTCCGCCCTTGTTCTAGGTCTTTCGGCCTCTCCCGGCTAAGCCCCGCCCCTGCACCGGTGTATCGGCCGCACCCGGTTAGGCCCCTCCCCTGTGTAGACCACGCCCCTTCTCTGGCCCCGCCCCACTCGTATCATTGCAGGTCGTGCTGGTCCCTCACCTACAGGCCTTTTCCCCTTCATCTGAGCCCCCACCCCATTATTTACTGGAGCCCTGGGTTCTTATCCCTAATAGCTGACCTAGGCAGCCTTTGACTCACGCCACCCCTTCTCTTGGCCTCAGTTTCCCTATCTACTCTTTCTCCACGCAGCAGCTGTGTGCAGACCCCTCTTAACACCCCCCCCCTCCCTCTTAGAATCTTCCCTAGGTCCTGCCAGGTGCAGAGGAGGGGGACTCAAAATGCCCAGGAGAGGTTGTTTGGAAAGCTCGCAGCCTCCGCGCGCCAGATTTGGAGTTTAGGGCTGGGAATGAGACCCTGCAGGCCTAGTCTGCAGAGGTCTTTGTTTTGGGCTGGGTTTAAGGAAACCCTAGTTCCAGTCTTCTGTAAGAGCCCCCTCCAGGAAAAGGTTGTAGTCAGCTGTAGTTGGGGCCTGCAGTCTCGGATGTATTGAGTTGCTGGGCCTGGGGTGTGCAGGGCAATGTTTTGGGCAGAGATGGGAAGACAAACATACAGGCTCTGTGTATTTGAGGTACCATGGAAGATAACCATCAGACAGGGGTCTGGGCCGGTGGGTACCCTATTGTATTCATTTCCTACGTGTGCTATTAACAAATTACCCAAAAACTTGGTGGCTTAAAGCAACAGATTTATTATCTTACCACTATGAAGATCCAAAGTCCTAAATGGGTTTTGGACTTGTGGACTTGACTGAGCTAAAATCCAGGTGTCACCAGGATCACGTTCCTTCTGGAGGCTCCAGGAGAGGATCTGTTTTCTTGCCTTGTCCAATCTGTACAGGCCACATGCATTCTTTAGACTGTGACCACAGCACTTCAGCTTCTGCTTCCGTGCTCCCATCTCCTCTGACTCTGAACCTCCTACCCTGCTCTCCTTGTGATTACATTTGGAGCCCATTCAGATAACCAGGATCATCTCAATTCAAGTTACTTTTGCAAAGTCTCTTTTGTTGTGTAAGGTGACGTATTCACCGGTTCTGGAAATGTGTATGTGACATCTTTGAGGGCCTACCATACCTACATACACCTATGCACAGTCTATCTATTTATAATATATATTTACATATAAAATTATACATAATACTATATAGCATATATGTGCATGTAACATGTAACTGTATATAACATTATATATATATGCCTATAGGTATAATATGATAGTGCTCTAAATGGTGGTCCCAGGTACTGTATAAAAGCCATTGCCTTGCCCTGGCTGGGTGCAGTGTCCCGTACACCAAAAGGTTTCAGGTTCAATTTCCAGTTGGGGTACATGCAGGAGGCAACCGATTGATGTTTCTCTCTCTCTCCCTCTTCCCCTTCCTCTCTCTCTAAAATCAATAAACATATCCTCTGGTGAGGATAAAAAATAAAATCCATAGACTTTAAAATGACCTCTAAGTAGAGTGGTCATATAATTTTCCATTTATGGCAAGACACTTGAGAATGTAAATGGATCCTATTAATAATTACTGAATACCAGGAGTGAACCAGGACTTCTAAGTTTCTGTAAGATCCGCTTCCTCACTTTTGGTCTCACTCCCCACCCCCACCCCCAGCTCCTCCAGCCACACCAGCCCCTTCAATATTCCCACAACCCACCAGGCACAGTCCCACTGGGAACCTTCACACTTCCTGTTTCCTGTTGGTACTGTATCTAAAATATCACGCTCAACAAACACTTCCTGTCCCCTTTCCCTGCTTCAAGTCTCTTCTTTAGCACTGACCAAGACCATGGAACGAACCACACATTTTGCTTGTTGGTCTTGTTTTATCAGTTGCCTCATCCACTGGAATGGGAGCCCCATAGGGAGGGGGTCTTTCTTGGCCCTAATCACTTGCAGCCATACCTGACTCAGACTTGGCACTCCGTGGAGGTTCATGGAATGAAGGTGCTTGACTGGGAGACTGGAGGCTCATGGGTACACTCTGTAGGGGACTTGGCTGTTAAATGGATGCCTCACACCTATAGGGGAGTCCTGGATGGTGTGGAAATCTAGCTGAGCAGACCCATGGATGTGCTATCGTGGGAACATACAATTATATCGGGGCCCACATAAGAATCTAGGGGACCCTGTAGTGGGCACAGAGAATATGCACGGGTCTGAAAAAATACATAGGGCCCTCAGGGGCTTCTGGAAGTTTCTCTGTAGGAACACAGAGGGAGGTATGGAACCAAGCTGATTTGAAAATTCCTGCCCTGGGCTGTGGGTGGACATGGGTCAGAAAGGATGGGAGGCTTGGAGCCTGGGGAAACAGAGGTGAGCAACTTCCTAAATTCCTTCCTTCCCTCTGCCTCTGCCTCTGTCTTTCTCTGCCCCTCAATCTGTCCCCATCTCCCCCAGCATCTAGCCCCTTCACCTGTGTGTACCCCTTCTATCCCTGCTTGGTCCCCCTCTCTCTGCAGCTCTTTCTACATCTCCGTTTCTCTCCAGCTGTTCTCCCAAACCTCTCCCTCCACCTGTCTATTTTTCTGCCCCATCCCGGGTTGGCTTTTTCACATCAGTCTGTCTCTCCACCTGGTCCTTTTCTCTGCTTTCCTACCCCTCTCTCCCAGCCTCTTTCTGCTCTCCATTCCTTCGGTCTCTGCCCATCTCTGCCGGTCACCGTATTGCCCAACTCGGGCTGGGCCCCAGCCCTGGCCGGGACCATCGCCCCGTCTCTCTTGCTGCCATCTCGGTCTCTGTGTGGGGACTTCACCTCCCTTTGTGTAGCTGCATCCCTGCCCGTCTGCCTGTTCGGCATCTCTCCATCCTCTCTGCTCCTGCATCCCTCCCTGCATCCTCCCACCTCCTCGCCCCCCCTCCAGATCGCAGGCCCGCCCCCTGCCCCGCTCCCCCCCTCCGAAAGGGTTAACTTTGGGGAAGGGCCCGGAGTCCCCGGATGGTGATGTCAGCGTGCCGGAGAGAAAGGACGAGGTGGCGGGGGGAGGCGGAGAGGAGGAGGAGGCGGAGGAGAGAGGGCGCGTGGGGGGGCGGGGGGGACCTCGGCCTGCAGCATCCGCCGGCCCGCACTTCAGACCCCCCCCGTCGGGGGGAGGCACAGGAAGGGGGGGCCGCCCAGGGACGGGCTGGGGAGGGGGGGCCGCGCAGCCCCCCCCCGGGCCATGCTGACTCCCGGGGCCTGACCCCCCCGGGTCCGCCCCCCCTCCCCCAGCTCCGCGGCCCGCCGACTGGGGGGGGCCCAGCCCAGCCCCCTGGGGACCCCCGGAGAGGTGGGGGGCAGCCGGGGGGGCCGGGACGGAGCGGTCGCCGGCCCCCACCGGAGAGACGGGTCGACCGGCCGCAGGGGGGGCGGCCGGGGGGCCGGTCGGGCCGGGACCAAGAGCACCATGTCGTCCGGGGCCAAGGAGGGAGGCGGGGGCTCTCCCGCCTACCACCTCCCGCACCCACACCCACCCCAGCACGCCCAGTATGTGGGCCCCTATCGGCTGGAGAAGACGCTGGGCAAAGGACAGACAGGTGAGCCAGGGGAGGGGACACTTGGGGTGGGGGCAGAGAGCGGGACTCGGGTATTCAAAGGGCAGAGGTCGGCTACCCAGACCCGTGGGTCCCTCACAGAGAAGGAACTTGGGGTCCAGACGGCCCAGTCCCCAGAATAAGAAGGTGGACAGGTCTCAGACTCTGGGGTCCTGGGGAGGAGGGGGCTGGGGGCCGGGACTCCTGGAGGGTGTTGGGGCCCTAGGGCTCCCACCCCGCTGGGCAGAGGTTGGAGGGGCTGCGGCGCGGAGGGGAAGGGAGGCCAGCCTGCAGGGGGACAGCGGCGCGGAAAGCGGAGGTACTTGGTGCAGTACAGCCGCAGACTGGGGTGACGCGCGGCCCGGGTTCCCGGTGAGACGCGTCCCTCCGCACTGCCCTCTGGCCTCGGAAGGCCGTGGGGTGGCAGGAGGTGAGGCTGGGGTGATGGTGCGTACAGCATCCTCCCCTTCTCCAGTCTGCTGGCTTGGTGTAGGGACCAGGACCAGGGAGGGAGGAGGTGGAAGTAAGAGGCAGATCCCCCCAGCAGTGGCTGTGGAGGGGGTACATCCTTTGCTAAACACTGGCCCCCAGCCATGGCCTCTTTCCTGCCTGGTGGGGGTGGGAGCTGAACACCTGTGTTCCCGGGATGAGTCCAGGGTATCTGTGACACTGAGGGCCGGGGTCTGAGTAGGAGGGGGAGAGTCAGACACCAGGTCCTAGTGAAGTGAGTGTGAAGGTGTTGCTGACCTGAATTCCTGAGTTATGGGGAGAAAGGGGCCATGGGCCTGGGTTTGACAGAGGAGGCAGCCAGGAACCTGAGCTCCTGGGTCTGAAGGAGGAGGGGCTGGGGGCCTGGACTCCTGGGTCTGAGGGAGGAGGGGCTGGGGGCCTGGACTCCTGGGTCTGAGGGAGGAGGCTGGGGGCCTGGACTCCTGGGTCTGAGGGAGGAGGGGCTGGGGGCCTGGACTCCTGGGTCTGAGGGAGGAGGGGCTGGGGGCTGGGACTCCTGGGTCTGAGGGAGGAGGGGCTGGGGGCTGGGACTCCTGTGTCTGAGGGAGGAGGCTGGGGGCCTGGACTCCTGGGTCTGAAGGAGGAGGGGCTGGGGGCTGGGACTCCTGTGTCTG